TATGCAAAATAAAATTGAATATATCTGATTCTATGCCATATAAAACGAATTTATTATTGGGTTTGTAATGTGTACGACTAAAAGAAAAAATATGCAAAAGTCATAAACATCCTAACCCTACTAATAATAGTTGTTGAAAACTAAAACTGTCCAATACTAATTAATTAAATTTGAATTGAAGTTGTTTTATTTAAAATGTACGGTGTATATATTTTACATTGTTTTGCATTATAATACAACGATCGTCTAATAATTGCATCGTGTTTACAGGTAATCCTTTACCGAACGTAACATGGTACAAAGACGGCGTCACGCCACCTCAACGCCAACTGGGTATAGCTAGGTATACACAATGGGCCATCATACTGGAAGATTTGGTAACGACAGATTCCGGTAATTACACGTGCAAAGTGAGCAACGAGAATGGATGCATAGATTTCACTTATAAGGTCGAAATAATAGGTAAGCATAGCGACGATCGTCGTATATAGTAATTATCGTTTAGTAAATGATAATATTAAACTGATTTGGAAAAAAAAAATATACGAAATATTAAAACTAATTTTACGAAATCAACCCCAAAATAAAAACAGAACGATTTCCGCATAAGCCCTACATTAAAGAAGGGCAGCCTCATAACGTCACCACACTGGTACACACCAATGTATCGTTTGAATGTACTCCGTTAGCCGATCTCGAACCGTATATGCGATGGTTCTATCATAACGCCAGTGTCGGGAACGTCAACGAAACAAATCTTGAAAACGGCAATGTCATACAGGTACCGAAAACCAAACTTTTGGAAATCGGTGGCATGCTATGGTGGTATTTGCGCGTGGTTTTGGGGCTTATTTATTACGATTAATTATATGTACATATAAATAGAAATATATATAAAATATACATATTATATATTACCTCGGAACGTGCTATTTTGGTGTTTTTTTTTTTTTTTGGGATGGAAGCTACATTTGTAATAATGATCGTGTAAAACAAGTGACGTGCACAAAGTTGTAAAACGTGTTTACCTGTAATTTTTCTTTTTATTATTTTAGAGCGGTTGCACCATCGTCCGGTGTTTACGGAAGCACCTCACAACCTTACTTTGGTGTTGGGTGGTTCTGGTGTTTTGGCGTGCAAGGTGTTGTCGGATTTGCATCCGTACATCGGATGGTATATTGGGGAAATCACGGTGGAGAACACTGAAAACTTAAACTTAACAACAATGGTGAAGGTCGAGGTACGCTTGGGAATCAACAAAATTGAGCTTTTCGGTTAACTAACACGCTTTATACGCTTTTAAATTATAATATACGATCATTCGCAATGACGAGTAATGGTGTTTGATATTTTCGCTTTGTTCGATTTGCCGGGACTTAGAAAACATAATGCAATAAAATATTTTCCTAAAACATGTCATGTATTTTTAATAATTGTGTAAATGAATCGCGTATCTGACTTCTCGCGTCTATTATAGAACGGCGCTCCCAGCGAAGGCAACCCGGAATTGTTGCAACTGTCTAACGTAACGCATTTGGACGAAGGATGGTATACGTGTGTGGCCGGTAATAGTTTGGGTATGAGCTATGCCAGTGCCTATTTAAAAGTAGTTGACGGTAAGTTATCCGAAGAAATCAAAATGTTATCTGTTTAATAATATATACACTGGTTCATTGTAAATATATAATCAAGTATGTGATGATAATATTTTAGAATTGGAAGATCCGATAAAAATCAAAGCTTTTCAATTACAAACGTACCAATTAGCTGCTCTAGGCATTAGTTTCGTACTAGTCATTTTCGTGTGCATTATAATGCTAGTGTGCAGTCAGAGGAAGAGGGAGAAGTTGAAGGAGCTGGTGGCCAGAGAATCGGCTAGGAACGCAATGATCACTCAATGGACCAAGAAAATAATCATCGAAAAACAACAAATGGCCGATGCCAGTGAACCATTGGTGAGTTGAATTTTATACTCATTATATTACATACGTATGTCGTACAAATATATTATTTTATTTCCATCATTAAAATATTATGATATATTTAAATAAATCGTGTATAATAATAGAACGTCAAATTTATTATATATTTCAGTTGATGCCCGTAGTTAAAATTGAAAAACAAAAAAGTAAATACACAAAATTAGACCAGGTGTGCATGTCCGAATACGAGTTGCCTCTCGATCCTTGTTGGGAATTTTCGAGAGAGAATCTATCATTAGGTAAAACTCTTGGCGAAGGTGCATTCGGTAAAGTTTTACGTGGCGAAGCCGATGGCATTTTGTGCGAAAATGTAATAAGTACGGTGGCGGTAAAAATGTTAAAAGGTAATTTTTTTTTAACGTTCAATTTCCCGGTACATATTTAAAATATAAAATATTTAATTTATAATTAACGCAGACGGACACACTGATACCGAAATGATGGATTTAGTATCGGAAATGGAGATGATGAAGATGATCGGTAAACATGTGAACATCATAAACTTATTGGGATGTTGCACACAAGACGGACCTTTGTATGTGTTAGTGGAATTCGCATTACACGGTAATCTCAGAGATTTCTTAAGACAGCATAGGCCATCTTCAGGTTATGAACCGGCTATAGGATCAAACCTCAAAGATACCTTAACGCAAAAGGATTTAGTTTCGTTTGCATATCAAGTTGCCAGAGGAATGGAGTATTTGGCGTCTAGGAAGGTGAGCATTACTTTTAAACTAATTGTCGGTTATAAATAGTATCCTTATCCTAGAAGATATAAAACATAGAAATATTATTTTTTTTTTAATTGAAGTACCTACATAATAAAAATGTGTGTAATGAGTATACTTACTTAGATATTGTATAATATATTTAATGTTATCTAACAACAATTTTTTTTTATTTGTCATGTAGTGTATTCACAGAGATTTGGCAGCAAGAAATGTCTTAGTAAGTGAAGACTTTGTAATGAAAATTGCAGACTTTGGTTTAGCTAGAGATATTCAAAATCAAGAATATTATAGAAAAACTACCGATGGAAGACTCCCGGTGAAATGGATGGCACCGGAAGCTCTTTTCCATAGAGTGTACACAAACCAGTCGGATGTGTAAGTTAAAATTACATTTGAAAAAAAAAAATCTTATTAATACTTAATGAATTTTCATATCGCCAAGACTTAAAATCCCTTATTGTTACTAAAATAATTAACTAAAAGTGAAATCATTGATATCAAGCTATAAGATACAATTTTTTAATGTTTATGAAGCAATTTGACAATAATCAGTGCACAATAACCAAAATTGTTTCAATATTAATAAACATTATTTTTTACAAATTTAGATTTAATTTTTCAAAAAAAAAAAAAAAAATATAATAAATATAACATTAGTATATTATGTTATACGAATAATAAATAACAATAACATGCTAATATAGTAACCGATTAAAATTGTACATATCTCCATCTCCAATATAAAATATATATAAGTATTTTTGTGTAAGTACAGTATTTAAATAAAAATTCTAATACATATATTTATAAACAGGTCGTAAGTAAATTGAATAATAAGCTTAATTTTTTTTCCATCTAAAATCTAAATTCATAAAATTTAAATAAACAATAAATATGTATCTATAAGTATAAATTATTAGTACTACTAATTTTATAGTTCATAAATTATAACGGAAAAGTCATAGTATAAACGTATAACATTATGATTTTTGAATCATTCTAAGATTGCGCACATTTATAAGACCATAGATTTGATATTTTATTATGTTAACGCGGCGTACACGATTATTAATAAAATTATATAAACGATAATGTGTAACGATTAATCTAAACATGAAATGATTTTTTTTTTTTTTGCTTTTGTTCAAAATATAGATGGTCTTACGGAGTTTTGTTGTGGGAAATAATGACATTGGGAGGTACGCCTTATCCTTCGGTACCCAACATGGAACAGTTGTTTAATCTTCTACAGAGCGGACATCGTATGGAAAAACCGTCTTGCTGTTCTCTGGAAATGTAAGTTTGCACATTTTTTTTTTTTTTTTTTAGGCATTATTATAAATATTGAAAACGTCGAGTTATCGAGCTCAAATTCGATTTGTTTCCAAAGAAATATTTTTTAATCGTCGAGCAAAAAATTAAATTCACAAATCCTAGGATTTACGCTACGATGTGTGCAATCGATTAATTTTAAAACGATATCAGTGTCGAACATTTCCGACGGAGATATCGACATCGCTTTGTCTTACATCTTACACATGCTATTCCAATAATAATTATTATACGCGCGCAAATATTTAATTCCGCGGTAGAGATCAGTACCTATTAATTAACGTGTGATCGTCACGTGCTTCTTCTTCAGATACATGATTATGCGAGACTGTTGGAGTTACCATCCGAACGAGAGGCCCATGTTCGATGAGCTGGTGGAGAGTCTCGATCAGATACTGTCGGTGACGGCCAACCAGGAGTACGTGGACTTCGGGCTTCCGCAGCTAGACACACCGCCTACCAGTCAAGAATCGTTCGATGGAAACGACCTAGTCAATTTCGCCGTGTGATTTCACGTTTATTTCCCCGTACGTCCGGCGGACGACGGTTTCCTTTAGCTCAGAACGAGAGCCGCATCAGTATTTTCTATAACTTCTGTGTTGTATTATATGTTATGACTAATATGACGTGAGATTCGTGGATTTTCACACATTTTTATTGCAAGATGTTTATGACGAATACCTACATATACAACATTATTTATGATTAGGTACTATAATTAATATACCTAATTGACACGCCACACACATAAATTGTAAATAATTTTTGCGTAAAACGAATTATTGTGTTATTGGTTTTAATTATTTAATTGTTTGTAAAATACTTAGTTTTGTTTTATCGTTAAATATTATCGCATATGTTTTTGTTTGTGTTTAAACCGGATGGAAAATTAAAAAATAAAATAAAATTGGACGGTATGCAATTGGAGCGAACGGCGCGCGGCGCGACAAGACTGAATATATAGTATGGAATCAAGACTTAATAATGACAATTATTTCCGTGTGTTATAGATGCGGGGATACCTATAGTATATTAATGATATTTCTGCAGATTGGAAATGTCCCTATTTTTGTATAATAAAATTTATCAATTATATTGTATTTATTTTAATTTATATAATATATATAACCGTAATTATATTCATTAAACAAACATTAAACATAATAATTTTAATTCGATCATAAGAGACTTCTAGTCAAGTGAAGGCATATACCGCCAAACTGCTGTATAGTATGTCATATAATTGCGTATTTTCTCAACCACGCGTATATATATATGGTTCATAAAATTTATTTTAATTACCTACCTAATTTATCGCAATAACGGTAAATATTATTGTGACATTTTTATTTTTTTTATTTGTTTACTTTTGTACATAAAATAATATTATCCGATAAGTCTTAACTCTTAAGTTGTTATTGTACTATTATTGAAAATACCAGTCGATTTCAAACGTGGTAGCCCGCCTTCTGCATTATTTCTCAAATGTTTGTAATGCAAATGCTTAATCGTATCTGCCACCAATCTCATTTTTATTTGTATTTTTCGATTGAGGTAATATAGTATAGATTATTATTTGTGTAACATAATATGTTATTATGTAATAAGATAAACTATAATTGTAAATTATTTTTATTTATAATATATTTAATAATATTATAATATATCAGAAAAGTATTTTTTAGCTTTGAAGTAAAAGCTACAATACTACTATCGTTAAAATAGTATTTATATACTAATCATTTAACATTATATTACTAAATAACATTAAAATGTGTTAAGTAAGTAAATATAAAGATACATGAAAATATTACCTATGTAACCATTTAAAGTTTATTATAATTTATTTAATACAAATATATATTTTACAAACTTTTAAGTTACAGATTGGAAATTTCTCATTAATTCAAGGACCTTTTAATTGAAATGTATTATAGACGAAATTCGCTTACGAGTACATTAAATATAACAACTATTGTTCTAAGATTAATTGTTATTGTAATACATTAATTATATTTAAATTAAAACTTTAAATTTTAATTCGATGATAAATGCTTGTAGGTACTTAACTATACAAAAAGCGAAGCTGCATGAAAATGGATTGTTAGTTTCTATTCTTAAAGATACTATTAATATTATACTTGATATTTATTTAATTTATAAAAGTTACGATATTGAGATAAATACAGACTTGGCGACTTACCACGTAAGAGAATAATGTGAATAGGTTTTATATTGTAAAGTAAATATTTTAATTTAAAATGCTTATATAAAAATGTAACTTTATTATAAAACATATAGGTATGCTTATTGAAAGAAAAGAATAATATAAGAAATATGGTACCTATATTAATTTAAAAAAAAAAAATGGTACATGTTAAAATCTAATACTTTTGAACATAATTACGATTAATTTTGTGATTAACAATTATGTTTGCTTTCTTGATTTTGGATGTACCTATGGACTATGTTTCATGTAAATGCATGAAGATGAATATAAACCTTAACGATATTTTACTGAATCCATTACAAAATGAAAATATTTGTTTTTTAAAATATTTTTCCATGAATTCTTGGCAAGATATATTTTCTAAATTGGTCTTAATGACTAATATAACTACTATTGTATTGATATAATATAAGTATTACTTAGTGACTTTGTCTAATAACTATTCATTAATAAAAATCTTCTACTATAAACTATAGTGTTAGTCCCAGTAGAGTAAGTGTGAAATCTACAACTTTTAATAACATAATATAATAATCTGCAGGTGTCAATGGTGTCATAGTATAATGCCAAACTCGTAGCTATAGCTGTTTATGGTTTGGGCTTAATCAAATCCGTTTTTATATTATCTCCATCTTGAGCAGTTTGCAATTTCAGTTGGGGTATACAACAAAATTTACATTACCACAGTTTATAAAAAATAATGGTTCGTATGGTTTAAAATATAAATACATAAAATATTTACACAGTTTAATCGAAATAAGTGTAAATTTTATCATCATCTTCATGTAGGTACCAGCAATGCATTTAAAAAAAATACTCTGTATAGATTGAAGGTAAGATCAAAATTTTTATTTGTGTAGCAAAACCAATATTTATTATTTTTATGAAGGAGACTAACTTGTATTTTAAATATTAAACTGAAATAATTAAAATGAATCTCTATCATTGAAGGTATAATAAATAAAATCCATATTTTAATTCAAATACTTATTTTTAACATATATTTTACATAAATAATAAAAAAGTAAAAAAAAACAATAGTATATAGCATATATTAAGTAGAAAACATTTCAATATTTATTTAAAAAATATAATACTTATTAATTAACTAAGCACAATTAAATAATTGGTATACACATAAATAGAATACTGATCAAGTTTTTTCTAAATTGTAATACTTATATTTCGGTTTTATTGAGCTGCAATTAATAATAAATAAATTAAAATACATGGAATTTTAAAGACTTTTATGTATCATATATATTATATATATAATACATTTTATAGAAAATTATAAAATTTTTAAACTTGACCAGTTCAGTTTACTTATAATAATTGTTGATACATAATTAAGATTATATCGTATACAATGGTGTAACTTAAACAAACTACAGCTAATTTATAATGTGTATATTATAAAAATAAAAATAAATTGTATAAAATAATAGTTATTATGTACTATTAATTTAATACTGTATACATAATTAAGTTATTTATTATACCAACTTAAGAAAAAACAAACAAAAAATGGCAGTAGTACAGCTGGATTACCTGTAAATACTAGGTACAAAATTAAAATTAATTACAACTCAAATAAACATTAGACTTATTAAACATTTTATAATTATAGTAACTAAAAAAAAAAAAATAAATAACTAAAAATACTATAGAATGAAATAAAATGTGTCAGTATTTAATTCAAGTTCCAACTAAAATGTAGAAATAAATAAGAAACAAAATCATCTACAATTAAATTCATTTTAAGGGTATCGATGGGATAATTTTATTACTAATTTGTTATATAAATCACACATTTTTCAACTAAGATTAATTTTCATTTAAATACAAGAATATACCATAATTAGTTATACCATAGAAATATATATCACTACACTGGAAGTACTTGGGTAAAAAACAATACTATTAGTAATAAATCAATATTGATTTTCATATAAATTATTACTATTTAGAACTAATCTAGCTAATAATAAAAAAAAAAAAAATTAATACAAAATATTTTAATACTTCAACTCTGAAAAAATACCAGTCTAATTATTACAACATGATGTATATACATTAGACTATCAGTTTCATAAACTCAGTCACAAGGATATTTTTTCTAAACACAAGTCTCATCGTTTTCATCGCTATCTGATTTGTTAGTTCTAGTAAGTGTATAGCCAGATGCCTTATGAGATTTTCTTGTGTCCTTTTTTCTTTTGTTGACATCTGTCCATCTCTCTTTTTTTGGTGTAATTGTTTCGTAAGTGTGATTCAATGGATTTGCACTAGAACAGTCGGACACTATCACATGTGGACTGCTGCAAGCTTCTTTTTCACTAATGTTCCGTCCACAATCGGTGACACTGTCTGAAATACCTTCACAACTAGCACCACTCATTTGGCTGGTTACAAATTCTTCAGTAGAGTAATCTCTAGGCTGCATATATTTATGTTGGTATTGTGTACGGCCATCTACTTCAACATACTCGTGGTCAGTAATGGCACTGTCTGAGAACACACCATTCTGTTTTAGTTCGAGCCGTAGATTATTGGTTTTACCATTTTGACAGTAGTAAGCACCATTGTCTGTTAACTCTGGTGAAGTCAGTGGCGGACGTCGAGGTAAATTATTTTGTTTTCTCCGTTGTTTTTTGAAAAAACGTTTTGCTACAGTTATTTGATGTGGATTATAATAATCAATTTGACGTTCAGCATTTAATTGATTTCTCATCATTACAAGTTGTAATTGAGGTGATCTAAAGGATTGCAATGATACCACTTCACTATTAGACTTTGGTCTCACAGATTGAAAACTATCAGTCCTAATAGATGGAGCACGGACTGAATCTACAACTTTTTTTCTTCCCCATCGATGTTCTTTGAGTTCTGCAAATGCATTTTGAACATCGTTTCTTACAAATATGTAAAACCACATTATTAAAAAGTTTTGAAATATATTGAAACAAGCAAACCATACACCTAACCATAGTTGTATTTTGGGACTGTGCATGACTGCTACATTAAAATAAGTCATTGAAACTGTCATTAAATATCCCAATAGAGTTCCATTAAAAAATCGTAGTTGGATAACTGGAGACTGTTCGGGGTCTTCTACTTTGCTTGATGGAGTTGTGAGGCTGCGACAACTATTGTGTTCAACCATGCTATTTGTCTGGTCTAATAGTTCTAAATCAGTGGCTTGTGTACCTTCTGAAAGTTGTACGTTGGAGTCGAGATTGTTGGCAACACAAGAAACAATTAAACTGAGGAAGAAAATACCGATAATAACCACTAAAGCTACACTGAGAATAAAACCAAAAGCAGGACCCGGTTTTAAGAAACAATAATCTCCTTCATGACCTCCATAACCAGGCAAATTGACAGCACTAGACATTCCACACAATAACATCGGTATGCCCCACCCAACCATATATATACCCAGTAAAGGCTTTTTGATCACAACATCTTCATGTGGAATATTCATACCTCCGCCGTCATCAGATGGTGTGCCAGCAGGAAGGAATGGTTTATGTACACGTTTACACAAAACTCTAAAAGAAAAAAAAAGTAAAAGGAAAATTATTTAAAGCATACAACTAGCTTTTAGAAGGTGTTATAAATCTATTATCTAATACTCATAAACACCTCTTTATATTAATGAATATTATTAGATGGGTTTTTATAAAATTAAACATAAATGGACAAGATTTTTTTTTTTTTTTTAATTGAATAAATAATACTATAATTTATTAAATATAATAAATTAATAACTTACCTAATAGTCACTGTCATCCAAAACAATGGAGCTAAACTGAAAAATTGAATCAGTAATCCTATTATTTGGCAAGTTCTAGGATTTTCAGTCCGATGAATACCATTACTAATTTCATTAAAATAAAATATAAAGTATTAAAGACATTTCAATTATTTACTTTTTATTTGTGTTTTACTAACCAATAGATTAAATAAAACATAGCCATTGCAAACCAAGTATTGGGAAGAGAATGCTTCAACTTTTTAGCCATTTGTATGCTGTTATTGAGTACTACAAAGAGAGTGACTGAAAATAAAAGAAATGTACTTCCTGCAAAAGTGCCAATGTAAATTGATGCATGTGCAAATAATTTTGTTTTTTTTTTAACAGTTCTGAAACATTACATTAAGTAAATTAACATAATATATCTATAAGATTTAAAACAATGAATATCATCATCATACATATTTGTTGGAGGAAAAATATTATGCACCAGTGTTGGGCTCATGGTCAATGCAAAATAACCAAATTTATTACATGTGTATTCCAACATGCCACCAGTAATGCGTGCCAGCTGACAACTGGTGTTTGGATTTATATCCCATAATCCCGATAAAGGATTCCACCATGATGGGCTAGGTCTCATTGTTAAATAATGATCATAATTTTCAGGTTGGCGTAATGTTAAGATTAGTGGTTCTGGTACATCATCCATTTCAATACCCACTAATTTTGTAACTAATATGCAAGATTTTATTTCGGTAGGCAATAAAGTAACATTGTCTTCAGCTGTTATCATTGGCTCAGGAAACATTTTTCCATCTTCATAAACTATGAATACTAATTTTATTTCATTATTATCTAAATTTTTATTTGAGTCACTCATAAATAATGAATTTGGTACTTTTATTGACGCTTCAATAATCTAAGTAAATTAAAAAAAAATAACAATTAATTTAGATGATTTAAACTTGCATTAAATAGGATATATTTGGAATAATTAATTTTTGAAAAAATGCAATATTAATTTACTTTGTTTTGATAAAGGCTATCATTGTTATAAACATGACATGTCAATGAATTCATTGTAGTAGGAGAATCTTGGTCTCGACCCCAAATACATATTAAGCCATTGAAATTTTCTTTTGAAATAATAAACTGTTCCATTGCTATAGCTGATGTCTAAAATCAATATATAAATATATTCTAATTTAAATTTATAATTGTTATTATATTTAAAAAAAATCATTTTTAATTTTACCCATCGAGAATTTATTGTTGAAGTAAATTCTAAAGAAGATTCTAAAGCATTCACAAGTCTAGAGGTGGATTTATCATTTTTTTGAGCAGCTAATAGTAATTCTCTAGGTAGTTCAGCCATCAAACTTATTAAATCTACTACAATTGGCGCTAACTGATAAACATAAATTCATGTTAGATTTAATAATACACATTTAAAAATTTAAAATATAAATAAAATTTAAATACCGATTTTTCATTGCGTATTACATCCAAATAGTCATCTACTATGTCTGCAATAAAACTAACATCAAGATTATCTTTAATTTCATTAAAATGATCTCTTGTGTAATTAAATAATTGCCTAGCTGTTTCTGAGCTATCTTTATGAGTAACATTTGTCTAAAAAATAATAAAAAAAAGAGCAATGAAATAAATAATTTTTAATATTATTGATATCTCAAAATAGTCATACCTTTGATTGTGTATAAAAAATACGAGTGGTTGGACTTGTATAAGGACAGTCTTGAGTATCAGGTACTTCCCATACACCATTTAAATTACAATGTCTACTGACTGTGCCTCTAGCCAAAGGTTCAACTTCTTCATTTGCTTGACATTGTTTAACAGTTATTACATCTGAGATGGTACGGGTCCAATAATATGTTCCTTTATTGTCTTTACTCTCTAAAATTATTAAAAAAAAATTTTCTATTAAATTTTATAAATATATATATATATATATATAAATGTAAGATAATAATACATTGATTATTAATAAATCACCTTCAACTCCACAGAATTTAGTTTTATTTGAAATAACAGTTAGTGAAATTGATTGAATTCTAATTCCACTAGATGAATTCAATTTACATTCATACTTTCCAGTATGATTTGTATTAAGTTTTGATATTGACAAATTACTGTGAAAAAATACCAATCAAAATTTTATAGTATACTATTTATAAATATTTTTTATAGTTATAAGCTTATATAATTTAACTTGTAAAAATTAAATAGTAAAATTTATTATAATTTATAAAAAATAGCAAATATCAGTACTAAGTACTAACCTTTGAATCAAACCAGTGTTTTCGAAATCTCCGTCAATAACAACTATTGAATCATTAGTAATAAATGAATTTACGTTCCAAGCTAAAATAATACCTTCTAGAGCATCTGCACCAACAGCACGACATAATAGTTCTATTGAATCTCCTTCAAAAAGAACCTTTATAAAAAAAAAAAAGTAAAGATTAATTTTAAACAATAAATAAATATATGAAATTGTATAAGCAATATTTCAAACAACAGTAAATAAGAAATTACAAGATTTGAGTAAGGTAAAATTTCAATTGCTGGAGGTGTATTTGATTTTGGGCGCACACAGTTCAACATATCAAGACGTAGATTTTTAATAGATGTGTCTTTCAAGGAAGCAGGTTCATGGCATTCAGATTTTGGTCCTAATTTTACTTTTTTTTTTACCCACTCAAGAAAACCAGAAATTTCACAATCACAAACTAATGGGTTATCTGATATATCTCTAAAAACAAACAAAATGTAGAATAATGTTAAGTAATATTCAATATAAATATGAAATATTTAATACTTACAATCTAGTGAGATGAATCAAAAATGTAAATGTATTGCCTGGTATTTGAGCAATCATATTTTTGTTTATTTTTCTGTAAAATAAATGTACTAATCAATTAATTATATATTTTTAAACTATTTGACAGAAACATAAAAAGTAGTAAATATTAAATACTATAGTTAATAAATCATAATTTCTTACAACTGTTCTAACGAGAAAAGCCCTTCAAACATGCCTTGAGATATATTTCTAAGTTTGTTGTCAGTCAATGTCCTATGATATAATATATTTAATACATCATTAGTAACGTCATCATTTATTACACAGCACTAAGTTAAACAACTCACAATATTTTAAGATTTGGTGTACCACGAAATGCTCCATCTTGAATAATAGAAATTAGGTTTTTGGTTAGATCTCTGTAACACACATAGATTATGTTAAACAGTATAAAATTAAATTCAAAAGTAGTCTTACAGCTTTTGTAATGTTTGAATAGGTATGGCGTTTGTGGGTAGAGCTGCGATCACATTGCTGGACAGATCCCTAAAAGTAAACACACACAATATTATATGTTCAAGTAAAAGAATATCAATAATGTTCACATTGGTTTACTTGACTTACAAGAATGTGACTCCAGTAAAGTTAGACAGCTGAATCAGCGGTATCTCACTGAGATACATGACAGGCTTATCAAGCCCACCACATTTGACTTTGCTGAACTTGTCGCCGACCCGTTTTTTTGGGCAGACACACCGTTCTGGACATGCTGCAACATCTACAGACGTCATCGTTACCACATCAGTAGTCTTCTGAGCTGTTACCGCACCGATCAACAGCAAACACAGTGCCCACAGCCATGAATTAGGGTACATGACGACAATTGACTATCAGCAATCCTCCTAATACATACAATACAACTGACTTCGATTCACCGTCTACACAGAAACTGTTCGCAAGAACACCTCCTCTTCGTCCTCGTCGGACGCCTTCATCGCGTCAAAACTAAATCGTTAGGTACAAAATCAAAACTAATAAACCAGCCCAGAAAATATTGAAAAGGTTCACTACACGCTTTTCGTCTTCGATTTTTACTAGAGCAATCTACAATATCTATATTCAACAATCAACTTCACGCATTTTTTGGTTTGTTTACAATTTTTTGTTTTCATTCATCGTCTACTCTATGTCTATATAGACGTTAACTGTTGTGTATTATTGTTATTTATATGTTTATTTTCTTCCCTCTCCAAACAAATGAACATATAACCTCAAAACGTACCAGCTGACCGACCTTTGTTATCTTTTCTATGGACGGGCCGTCGACCCGTCAGCTACACGGCTATCAAGACAAGTGTCGTTGTCAACCATAAATCTAGACGACAGACGCCACTGCGCCAGACACTATCCAGTGATGATGACCGCTTATGATCGCTGGCGACTACAACTTTACTCGCGATTGCGATATCGGCATTGTTATTCACAATTCAAGGTCGCACCTCAAAATAATAAATATATTATTCAATAGTTCCTTGTACTACTATCATATTATTATTGTATTGTTTTGTAGTAGGTAGTGGTTTTTTAAACTTTTTTTTATCATCATTCTGATAACGTTATTATTTGTTATTAATTATTATCATAGCAAAATGAAATAATGTGATTATTAATCATTTAATAATTAACATATTAACTCATCTATATTAATATAATATATATATTATTTATTTTGTGCGCAAAACAGTGACCATCGAACATCGAAGTCTTAGTTTGTTTGTTTGATAATTATAACGTACGCCGTTTCTTGTACTTGAACACTCCTCTATTCCTTACACGACGAGTGATGATTTGAAATTCCTTAGGTCACTATAATCCGAAATGTCCAATACCAATGTCAACGTTAGTTTTGCTTGCCAGCGATGTTTCACACCAATCCGGCTGGACAGTTCATTCAACACCATCAGTGAACACACCATTGCTGAATTGTCACGTAAGTATTTTGATTTATTAAAATTGATCTCATTACGATACAATAGATGGAGTTTAATGGCTGTTATTGTTCACAGTCCCGATTGTCACTTGTCCAGAAGTTGATCTTGAGTCTCAGGCCAAACACATTGATCATATGGTACCTGGTTTTCACTTGAATGATTCTTCTAGTGGAAACAATGGCTTTACATTGTTGGGCGAAGGGGAGACACCAACTCTTAGCCATCAAATGAAAGTTAGTTAAACATTGCAGTACCTATATGTAGTTTGATTATATTTAATAATTATGTCTGAAGTGTCCAAATCGCGGCTTTTAGTAGATATTAATATGAATCTCATGTCAGTTTAATATTTTGCCCTCCACGATTATATATTATTTAAGTTCTTGCTATTCATCTACAAATGCAAACAAATGTATTCAAATATGAATTACTCTAAAAGTAAGAATTAGTCTGCCTTTTCGATAAGTGCCTTGAAAGTAGTTTGAAGATTATTTCAATTAAATCAGATATTGATCTATTATTTTTACAAAAAAGCAATTTAAAATTCCCCATTAGGTTTTTTTTTTTTTTTTTTGTTATTTTGTACAATTATTATATCATTAATTTGTGTAGGTGGCAGCCAACCTCTTTGATATTGTGTCTGGAAATTCAAAGATAAACCATCCACTATGTGATGAGTGCACTGATGTACTAATGGACATGATGGAAGAGGAACTTCAACAAGCTGAAGCAGACTATACAGACTACAGCAATTATTTGAAAGAGTTAGCACCATTTTTATTGTTATTTAGACCATTGATTTTAAATGGTAATATTATGTTTATTACTTAGACTTTCCACTGAAGAACCAGAAGACATGGATGCACTGAACAAAGAATTGGAAGATGTGAGTATCAAAAATTTACTTTTTATTATTTGATTTACAGTAAAGTATTAACTAAACGTATTACTGAACAATTTCAAAAAAATAAAATACTATAGGTACTAAATTTTTTAATGCGATTTAAGGTACTTAATTATGTCAATAAATAATAAATTGTCATAAAATTATTGTAATTAATATTCAACTGTATATATTAATTAGTTAATATTAATATTATTACAGTTGTTAAAAGAAGAGAAAAAGTTGATGAGTGAACTAGCAAACCTGCAGGAAACTGAAAATGCATTAGATAATGATATAAAGGAAGCAGAAAAAGAAAAAGAAAGATTAATTAAAGAAGAGGAGCGGTATTGGAAAGAATACAGTAAACATCGAAGGGATTGCATTCTCATAGAAGATAAACAAAAAAGGTTAGTTTTTTATGATTTAATTATAATATTATGCATTTTGAAAATTGATGCATAATTTGACACATTTTTATTATTTAATATTTAAAAATAGATTTTATTTTTACAAATTTATATAAATGTACAACATTTGTTATAGTGTCGAATGTCAAATTATGTATACCACTTCACAATTGGCCAAGTTAAGAAAAACAAATGTATTTAACGCAACCTTTCACATATGGCATCATGGTCATTTTGGTACCATTAACAAATTACGATTGGGTAGATTGCCATCAGCTCCAGTTGATTGGGCTGAAATAAATGCTGCCTGGGGTCAAGTCACATTGCTATTAGTCTCATTAGCTAGATATATGAATTTAAAATTTGAGAAATATCGTCTTGTACCTTATGGAAATCATTCTTATGTTGAAGTAAGTTATTTTTAATATTCTGCTAAGATTAATATACCTAATTAGAAATTGATATGGAGTCAAAAATACAATAATTTCCAGTCAAGACATTAAATTAACGTTTATTGGTAATATTTTTTTGGATAAGATACAAAGTATATTGATTGTTAAATTATTATTGAGGGCGTACTTTAACTTAAAATATCTATGCTTAAAAAAATTACATACCACTTAAACTTCTAGTCATTAATAGTTGACAGTTTTAGCACTGATTAGATGAAATTAATTATACCTATTCTGTAGTATTAAAATTTAGCTGTTTTTAATCAAAATTATAAGAGATAAATATCATTTAACTTTATAATTAATACAATTTTAAACTATAGAATGACATAATATTGAATTGAAAATTAGTTAAACAATTTATATTTGTAGTAACTTTATATTAGTACTTAATTTCTTATAATTTATTTAGATACTAATATAATTTATGCTAGAAATAAAAATATTATCATAGAAATGGTTGCATATAGCTTTTTTAAGAATTTACAAAATTATTGTTAAATAAAAGGCATTGATACAGTATGCAATCCTCATATATAACTGATCTAAAATTATCTTCACCAGTATAAAATGCAACTTATTTTATATCATGACAACATATAATACTCAAAGTATTGAATACCTTTGGATAATACTGAAAAAGCAATATGTATTAAGAGTAAATGGTATTTTCCAATATCACTGATACATTAAAAAAGAAAAGTGACAATTTCTCTACCCAAACATACAAACTATGTTATTAGACAATTTCTTAGCAGGTATGAAGAAAGTTTTTATTTAATAAATTAAATAAATCACAATTTGTCGATTTAGAATACTAAGAATAAAAAGCAAGGATGAGCAGTAACTTAGAGAAATTTGTATTTTATATCTTTTGACATTTAATAATATTGTTTTTTTTTATTGAAAGATGTGTATACATTTTTATTATTAATAATTCAGTTAGGTCATATATATATTAAAAATTCATAATATTAACTAATTTTAATATCATAGGTTTTAGGTGAAAAAAAGACATTACCACTATATGGTCAAGGTGGCATACGTTTTGTATGGAATACAAAATTTGATTTGGCTATGGTGGCATTTTTAGATTGTCTCCAACAATTTAAAGAAGAAGTCGAGAAAGGTAATTCTGGATTCCATTTACCATATAGAATGGAAAAAGGAAAAATAGAAGATTCAGCAACTGGCAATACATATAACATCCGGTAACTTTATTAACTCTCTTTTATTGATATTATCTATTATTATTGAGCACAAATATTGAATAATACACTTTTTTATTATAGAATACAATTGAATTCTGAAGAAGGTTGGACTAAAGCTCTAAAGTTTATGCTTACCAATTTAAAATGGGGTTTAGGGTGGGTATCTGCTAAAATAAACCATGAAATGTAAATAAATGAAAGCTGATAATGAATTTGAAAAAAATAATATGATTTGTATTTTGTAATTTTTATATAAATTTATAACTTATTAAATATTAAATTAATGGTGTAATTTATTGAAATTTAATTATTTAAAACAATTTTGTTAGTCAAAAACCACATTAAGCCAAAAAGAAAACTAGATGATCCATTTAACACTTCTGATTGTGTGATTATATCTCTAATTTGTGGTATAGTATATTCCACGACTTCGATGTCTTCTCCTTCATGCACAAGACCACCTCCTTCAGAAATTTTCATTTGATCAGTGACTTCAGTATAAAAAAATGTCATAATTGAACCAGCTGTACTCAAGGCAGCTCTAAAAAAAAAAATAATTAATTTTTAAATTCTCATTATTTTTAATGTATAACTAATATTATAACATAAAATATTAATGGATTACATTTAAAACAAGTTTCCTTAATGAAGTATTTTGAAAATCAATATTATGCGAATAATATTTATTAGTATTTGTTTTAAGTTTGCGTGAACAACTTTAAAATAAACTAAGTGCAGTGTATACATTCATTGTATTGTATAGTTTTAAATTATGTACTGCATTTGATAATAATATTATTAATTCATTTAAAAAATGAACAAGTAGTTGAATATCAATTGAAAAATTATCAACACTTTATTAAAAAACATAAACTTTATATAAGATCATTTGATGTTAATATATTTTACTTAAAATACGAAATCACATTCACTCTTCAATAAACAAAAATAAATATGTATTTATGTTAAAATGTTTATTTACACTAAATTATTTCTTAATGCTCAATCTATTTGTAAAGAAAAAAACTATAATATTTGATGTAGTGTTAAAATGACCAATTTATGTACTATTAATATACTATACATAATTTTTTAAGTAGAAGACATTGCAATTTCTCGAACAATGATATTACCTACAACTGATGATTTTTTCCATATCTGAGACTTTGACTTCATAACCACATTCTTCTCGGACTTCATCAACAGCTATTTCTTCAAGAGTTTTGTTTTTGTCAACTATACCAGCACAAAATTCTACAGTCAAACCAATACTGGGTGGATACTTTACAGTGTCAATGTATCCATCTTTCGGCCTATCACATTCTGGTATACTTTTATAATAGACACCTACAAGTAAATAATACACAATCAATAATACATCATAATATACTAATCAATGTTGAATTGCTACCGGGTCTAAATTGTTTAACGCACACCAATGTATTTCTGGTCCTGTTGTAAATGATCACAAAAACTCTACAGGTAAAACAAAAAAACCAACTAGGTTATAATAATAATTTAAAGATGTTAATTAATATTATTCTATTTATTTTACTTTGGGCATTAAAATAAAACAGCATCATGCTATTGAAAAATGTATCTATAAATTATATTTCTTTTTCATTCGTCTTATAAATAATATAATACATTCATCTAATTCAATTGACTATTGAGGATTTATTGATTGTGTTCAATGTCTTTTTAATTGCATTAAAACCAATTTGTGAAAATTATAAATCATAATAATAATATTACTGATTTAGTTATTATATTTATAAATTATGTGTTAGTAATAAACTATCTCTAGTTATCTTTTTAATAGCTTAATCATCTTAAAGAATGACAATAGAGCTCAGAGAATTTAGTCGTATATCAGTTATAAGAATATATTAATGTAATATTGTTAATTTATTAAAATTACTATATCATATTAAGCAATAAGTGATGTTGATAAAATAAAAGAAGTATAAGTAATAGGTATGAAATAAATAACATTAGAATGAGATTGTAATGCATAAAATCACAATTTTACTTATTTTCAAACATTTATATTTTTTGTTCATATAATAATTCATATTTATAATGCTTAAATGAATCTTTTAACTAATAGAATAAACAGCAAAATTATTAGCGAGATGGTATGATGTAAGATATTAGAACTTATTATTTATTATTATGAATAATTATAATAATTAAAACTATTACATTGAAAAATGGTTTTATCTTCTAATTTTGGAAATAAAAATTAGTAGTGTAATTAAATGACTACCTATGTTTATTTAAATCTGTTAGTAATTTGTCTAATACATTTTTGCTGAATTTAATTAATTTAAGCTATAGTGGTTCATATAGAAAAGTGTATTTATATTAAAAAATAAAAATGGCTATTCTTAGTCTAACCATTATGAATGTTTCAAATAGGTACTACCTGTTTTATAATTCATACTAAAAAAAAAAAAAAAAAAATGATATTTATGAAAACTAATAATTAATAACTATAGGTTCTTAAGAATAGACTTAAATTTGAAAACAAACATTGTGACACTTTCTATGAAATACAGTGCCTAAAATGTCTAATATCGTACTGCACAATAATAAACAAAATATGATTATTATTGGTGCGTTATAAAAATTATTTAACACACACAATTATTGTTCATACATTTATCAATGCACTCTAATCAAATTGTTTGTCGTATCGGTAATATATTTACAGTAATGTTATTACAACCATAAAATAATGCATTATTAGCTTTAATAATATAAAATATATTTACCCATTATGGCTATCAATTAAGTCCCATTTAATTTCATTTCCTCCCTAAACAGAAAAATACAATAAGGTACTTTTATTCCGTAACTACACTTATGAAATAATTAAATACTACGATTAAGATGTTAATAATATGTACTTGTTTAAATATTAATGAAAACGGTCTGATGAATGCCGATTCTGTGGTTTTAACAACCCTGACCTCGGTTATGGGCTTCATGGTTATTTCAAACAGGATTCAAAATATCTGTGCACATGAAAAACAATATAAATATAATGTTGTTAAATCGCTGAAAGCCGACACGACGGAATTGTAAGTACGATATACCTAAATAATATCCAAGTGGCAAGTTCCCACGTAACGACGAGTTCAGGGCGTTCAGGCGTCGGACGAACGTCGTGATTTTACAAAAAAAAAAAAAACAAACTCAACCCACTGCTAATCGCGCCAATCGTTGGGATAGAGAACGAAACGTAATTAACGAGAAACTGTGTAATTCATCGATCTAATCCCAAGCCGTCGCACATCAGCCGTCATCGCAGACCGCAAAACCGTATTAAATAACAAACTATGTTATTATAATAGCCAATAGGTACCGCGTATCGTGTGTCCATGTCAACCGTTATCACGCAGTGAACATCGACGATGATAAAACGAGTAATCGAGATTTAAGTATTTGTAGTAATGTTTGACATTTTCGCCGCTAAGTGCAAATGCTGCAACTCGCAGGTCGACGCAATGGGGTTATGATTGTTATGAACAACTTTTACTACTGCTACAAATAACTACTGCCACGACTTACTAAAATGGTCCGATGTTTTATCGTCGAACATGATATAATATTATTTGTATAACATTCGTTCAAAGTATTTGGACATCGTTTACATAACAATATTATTTATTGAATAATTATTATAATAACGTCGAACTGTACTGATAAGTAGCGATAACTTTTAATAGACTTTCGGAGTATTGATAAATTCGTGGCAGACTGTTCTCTAAACTATATATACTATATAGTCATGAATTTATGATTGTTCGTAGCGTTATTCATTTATCATATTTCAGAGGGGCACTTTGATCGAGATAACAGGATGTTACGTCATCGCGGTCCGTCAGTTCGTCACTCTTTTACTTTTCACTCTTCATTCACCCGCTAATCACTAATTACTATCGAAAGCGACCGCTCATCATCGGCGGTTCGTGTGACACAGGCTCTGTCGAACAATATTTTGTCCCTTTCATTCTATCGTTATTTCCTGTGCCTAATAAAAACAATTAAATAAAACTACAAAGAACACACCCATCCACTGAACGTATGATCGTCGCCACTGTCAATAATCTGTGGAAATCGTGTGCCAGAATACAACACTTATCAACCGCAGTTCCGATTCGTATGGCAGATTCGAAAGTAGCACGTAAGTCGTCCATCTGTTGTTGATTTCGTATTTTCGTCTGTCTGCTGGACGAATCGTTGACAGTTATTAACACCAGTTATTACTTATTAACATATATTTTAAGTTTTCGTAATTGTTTTTGTCGCTGCATGTTAGTTTTTTGTAATCCTCCACTTACTCGCCCAATCGTTTCACATAACTCTGCGCGTATTCCTGACTCATATAACCTGTTAGTAGTGTTTACAACGGTCATCATGTTTGTCAAATCAATATCATCATTTTTCTTTGCCAGGAAACTAAACACAACCGTGCCTAAGATGATGTCCACATGTATCGAAACACTGTCCGCTGAAGGCCGCCAAGACTTTTACAACTCGTTCGACACCGTACTCACTGACTGCGATGGTGTACTGTGGTTGCTGAACAACACTTTAAAGGGCGCCACAGAAGTCATGAATGGCTTCAAGGCGAATGACAAGAAGGTGTTTTTCGTCACTAACAACAGCACTAAAACGCATATACAGTTTTTGGAGAAGTTTCATGCACTTGGATTCAAAGTTCAAGGCAACGAAGTGGTCAGTACTAGTTTCTTGGCTGCAAAATACTTAAAAGCAAATCTTGACCCATCCAAACAAGTGTATGTAATTGGATCTCCTGCTATTGCATCTGAATTAGATGCATTAAATATAAGACATTTTGGTGTTGGCGAGGATTATTTAAAAACTTCTGTACCCACATTTGTTGAAAACATAAAGCTTGAACCTGATGTTGGTGCTGTATTGGTTGGATTTGACGAACATCTTAGTTACCCTAAACTATTTAGAGCTGCATCCTACTTGAAGGATCAAAACGTTCTGTTTGTAGCAACTAATACTGATGAGAGTTTTCCAGTAGCTGGTACAGGTTTAGTTATGCCTGGCACTGGTAGTTTGGTGTGTGCTGTCAAGACTTGTGCTGGACGAGATCCATTTGTTGTTGGCAAACCGTCAAGCTACATATGCAATGTCTTGACAGAAACCAATAAAATTGACCCTTCAAGGACATTAATGATTGGTGACCGTTGCAACACTGATATTTTGTTGGGTAAACGTTGTGGGTTTAAAACACTGTTAGTATTAACTGGTGTAAATACCCTGAAAGATGTGGAAGAATGGAGCAAATCTGATAATCCTGAATTACTTGAGTTAATACCTGATTATTATGCTCAGGGTATTGATAGTCTAAGAGCAACATTTCCAGTGCCATTGTAATGATTGAATGACAATTATTACTACTTATTTTAATACATTAAAATATAAACTAATGCATTGTAGAAGAATTTTATGTTATCACCACGTTTAGACAATTTTTAGGGATGGATATTTAAATATTTTTCACATTATGTTCAACTTAGCTGTATTTTAGTTGAAAGTTACTATTCAAAATTGTTTTATTACTTCAATCATAATAAAATATTATGGATTTTTATGTGCCCTTCAGAATACAATGTATAATATGTTTGGAAAAATGTATTATTCTCAAATAAAATTTGTATTGTATTTTAAATAATATAATTCTTATGTGATCTAAGAATAAGTTACCTATGCTGTATATTTTTTTTTATGTCAATTAAATTTCAGATTTTCCATGTATGGACAAATATAATAAACATTATTTATTGTCTATCTACCAATATTTGGTTAGTTGTCATAATATTATTTCATACTGTTTTATTCTTATTGGTTGATTAACTAACCAATATTTCTAAAGTGTATAACAATTAATAATTATTAGTCTAGTTGATTGTTGATTTTTTTTTTCTGAATAGGTTTTAAGTAAAATTATAAATTACTTAAAACTTTACAATATTATACCATAGGTATTAAGTTGAAATATGTTATAGCTATATTAATTTTTATCTTTTAATACAATAATACTTATTACATATGGATATTTTTGATGCATAATTAGTATACATATATTTAATAATTAAAAATTAAATTAATAAATTAGTATGATAGAATTGTTTAACATTTTCTTGTTAAATTATATTATAAAAATATGTTTCAACTTAAAAGCATAAATCTACAAATTGCAAATTATTTACATTATTACACGAGTAATGAGTATTAATATAATGCATAATATATTGTCAACGCAATAATTCTTGTAAATTTGCAGAAATTATTGATCAGTCTGTTAAAACTTATAAGGGACATCATATCATATCATACCTTCAATAGGTACTTAAAATATAAGAATGGCTTAAATGATTATTGAAACAATATAATGTTATTGTTTGGTTGATGCAATAGTTGCAAGTTATACTATGTGGATATAGATTAGAGATGATTTGTCCAAGTAAGATGACCTTTCTTACAAAGTTAATTTTAGAACTAAGTTAGGTAGCAATTTTGAGACTTGATAATAATATTTTAACACATTAAATGTTTGATAACTATGGTTTGGAAGTAGCAAGGGAGTTGCATGTTATTCCATAGCTATGCTATTGATTTAAATTTTAAAGCAAGCAAACTAGCTGTCCGAACTATATGATAGTAAGTTTAAAAATAAAAAATTTAGATTTATATTATACATATTTTGTTGGTATTAGGAAAAAAGTGCATATTTTATTGATTTTTATATGCATCATATTAAGTATAATACCTATCTAATATTTAATATTTTCTAAAAAATATGATTTTTTCTCTTAACCTATGTATTTTAAATAATATTGGCTATCAAAATGAATTTATTTTATTTAGATATTTGTCATAGTTGTGTCAGGCTCGTACACAAAACAAATTGTAAGGGAAGGGGAGTCATAAAAAATTTACCATAATTAAAATAAAAAAATGAAAATATTAAATTAATTTTACAATGTATTTTTTTTAAATTCATTAAATTTGTGTGTGTTTAGACATCTTATGATGTAATAAAAATACTTCGATTTTCAACTAGGTATGTATGTGGTTTTTAGTAACAAATTGAATGTAATTGATACTGGCATGTACACTAATAGATAGGTATTTTATGAAATAATAATCTTATTATTATATAAGTAAATGATTTGTTTTTGGCAAGAATAAGTTTAAACTACCATAATATTACTACTTAATAGAAAAATGAATTGCTATAATATCAATATAATAAAATATATTGTTGACAGATGGTCTTTGCATAAAAATATTTTTTATATACATATATTTGTTATTGGATTCAAATTAAAAACATCTATTAGTTACCCACTTAATGACAAAGTACATAAATAGGTACATATTATAGACAAAGTGACTTATTTTTTATGTATTACAATTAATATTTTAAGTTTAAATGTTGGAATATATTTTCTAAGGTTAGAACTTCCTCTCTTTTGTTACCATATCATGATTTATTTATTTTCCTTCTTAAGCTTTTACAGTCCTTGAAGGATCTTTCGCTGCCTCTCTACTACATTCCTCTATCTATCTTTATCCAAAAGTCTGCTAATGTTATTTTCTGTGCGCTTATTATTACTATATCATTTGTATAAGCAAGAAGCACGTATTATTGGATAAAATCGCTATGTCTTGTTGCATTGACATGTAGTTGATCACCTTCTTAAGTGCTAGGTTAAAAAAGAACTAGTGACAAGTGACAACTTACATCATCTACCTCTTCGTGGTTTTCATATAGAAGAGATTTTGCCTTTTTATTACCTTTTTAATCATAATGCATTTAATGGATAAGTTATGAAACTTTTGGAAGTAAAAAAATAGTCAATAATTTATAACAATACGACCAGAACTATAAGATTATAAAAAAAAATGATCAAAAAGACAGGGCGATCACCTTGTTCGAAACATCAGTACAAAAGGTACCTAATTGACGTGTTGTTCTGTTTAAACGTCAATTGCATAATATTTTTTCTCGTATTAAATTTGAAAATTAACATAAGTATATAAGTAAAGTTTTTACATCAGTCTTGATGAATTTACTATTGAAATTTTAGCGGCACCAAACAATGAATCACTATAATATCATTATGTGTAAGATTTTCCTATTATTTCAAACCTAGAATTATTAGGTATTGATATTATCGACATTATTATTTATTTATTACTATTATTTTTATTATTACAGAGTTGAGGGTCTCGTATAGAGACAAGGATGATGTCTTGCTTGAAGATAGTTTGGAATCGAAAAATCCGTTTCAGCTGTTTTCTTTATGGTTTAAAAAAGCTTCGGAACGCAGCGATGTGAGACAGCCAAACGCTGCTTGTCTGGCTACCGCTACCAAGTAATACAGAATGATTTAATAGCTGCATATAACCAAAATTCGCCCATGAAAAAATGTGCTTACATAAAATACAGATAAGCATTATCGATGTATCTTAGTTTTTAATGTACCTACTTCAGTTCACGGTAAAATTTGCGTCGGTGTAGGTACCTTGTTTTGTGAACTAGTTCGACCGAAATAGGCAATCTACTTGTCTCAGATTGAATAAAGAACTCATCAATTATCACTCGGTATATTTTCGAAAGTGGTTCAAGCTATACTCTAAATTTTCCTACCAAATATTTTTAAAAACAATTTTTAAAATTTTTTAATCTATAAACTACAAATAATTGGACAGTAACTAATTTTAACTGCAACCCTATATTACAAAAATAAAAAACTAGGTATTTGATTTTCGTGAGTCCAAATTAAATTTTTCTATGATTCACCTTTAACAGTCTATAAAAAAAAAGTTTAAAAAAATATTATAACACAGAACACTCATCGATTATCAGGGAATATGTGAACAAAATATGCAGCTCATTAGTTTAGTATGTCTTCAAATCTATAATTTTCATTCCTATAGATACATAGATAATATATTTTCAATTTTTCATTTCTTTATTCATTTAACCAACCTTGATTTTTATTTTATTCACACCAACCAATAATGTTTTTATCGGATAGTTAATTTGGGAAACTATAAATACATACTATTTACTGTGGACATCAACAAAACATATACAATTAGGTACTTGTATTAATTATACAAAATTAATCATTAATAATTTGGTGTCGTTTATATAACACAGCGTATATTTTTGCGACGTTCCGTAGGTCTGGTATTCCGTCGGCTAGATTTGTTTTACTTAAAGCTTTCGACGAATCGGGTTTCACGTTTTATACAAACTCAGAGAGTCGCAAGGGCCGAGAAATTGTGAGTACTTTATTAATATATTATTAGGGCTCGGAAGTTGATGACCTTAAAAACAATAAAAAATGGCAAAAAATGTCCTAAAAAAATTACAAATATTAGTTTTATATTAATAAAAATACATTTTTTTAAAATATTTTACTCTATGTTACTATAAAATTCAAAATAAATTCAAAATATGACATAAAAATGACAAAAATGTCCTTAAAATAGGAAAATTAAAAAATTAAAAATATTTGTTTTATAAATGTCTGTGGTTTAAGTTATCGGCATAATGGTCAACAAGAAACAATAAGAAATGAACTAGTGTGAAATCAGTAAAAATAACTATAAATGTGGGAAAATGACCTAAAAATCTCAAAAAATGACTTAAAAAGTAATAAACACCAAAAAATGCTAAAAAAATTCAAAATAAAAATTAGTTATTTAGATTCACATGCTTACGAAACAGATTTGTGGCCAGGAGAGCATCGTCTAAAAAGTTCCAAAAAAAAAATGCAAAATGCATCAACTTTCGAGCCTTACATATTATACATATTTTTAAATTATTGAAATAACTGCCACGCGTAAGCCAAGTAGGTATATCAATGTTTTATATTTATATGAAATTGAATTATATTGCAAAACTTTAAATCGAGTATTAAGTACTGACAATTTTTTGCTACTATAATTAAATTATATTAAATATTAATTTTTTTCTCCAATAAATAGTTTTTCTACGTATGAAAGTTCTAATTATTATATGACATACCTTATTTAATTTTATAATTATATCGTTTGGTCATCAATACGCGAATTTCATCAGAAGTAGATCGTATAATTGATCAAAAATTTGCTATACAATATTACAAATATGGCGTGAATTTTACGCGAACTGCGTGTAGTATTATCATTGTAACAACTTGGATTGTTAATTACTCTTTACTATATATGTATTAAATTTTCAAATTTCTAGGAAGAAAACCCGATTGCAGCCATGACGATATATTGGGACCCGTTGGATCGATCGGTAAGATTAGATTTATAACATATTGGTGTTGGATTTTGTGGTTGAAATTCGGCCGCTATATTGTATAATCATAGTTCGGCACTCAATAAAAACATATTAATAAGCGCAATTTTTTAAATCGAATACATCTTGACGTATGCAAATAGCAAAAAAATATCACGTTATGGCTAATGATTTATAGGTATATCCTATTTAATTGAAAAAGTATACGCAACTAATAATAAATACGCTTATAATTTTGTATTTTCGTTAACATATATTTAATATACGTATAGGTACGAATCGAAGGAGCGGTGGAGAAAATTAGTGAATCGGAGTCCACAGAGTATTTCGATACAAGACCGAAAAGTAGTCAGATTGGAGCTCACGTGAGTCGGCAGAGCACAATAATAGCTAGCAGAGAATCGCTATCCGAACTGAATAAAAAGCTCGAAATCGAGTACTCTGGAAAACGAGTACCCAGACCGTCTTATTGGTAAGCATATGCTTATATGCATTTCCGTGTGTTAGAATATTTATAGTGCTTAAGAATTTTCATAGTTGGGAATACCAAATAGACACTTCATTTCTGGCACCTAAAATTTAACCGCAATTCTTTCTGGTGTAAATAAGTTAATATCTTAGCTCATTAATTTATCAGCGAAAAGTATTTAAAATTTAATTGCAATCATGACATCCAGCATTCTCTCTAAACCTCTTTTTTTTTTGCTTTATGTCAGTACACTTTATTTGTTAAGGGGGAGGGGGAGAGGGGCGAGCACGGTCAATAATTTTCGTAGAGTGGAGGTAGGACCTAACCATCCGTCGCTAATTATTTTCTTGCAATAGTTCTACCTTGAAAATATATGTCCGGTAATAACTACACAAAAATAATACAGCGAAATGAGTATTAATTTTCGATTCGGTAAGCTTAATGTTTGGAATTCGTATTTTTATTCAACAGGAATGGCTATAGAATAATTCCTAAGACAATGGAGTTTTGGCAAGGGCAGAGCGACAGACTGCATGATCGCATCGTGTTTGAACGGGCTGAGCACGCAGCCGAAAAGCAAATCGTCAGTCACGTCGGCGAAAACGGTTGGGTGTTTTATCGTCTATCGCCGTAATGTCGTATCATATATTATTTATACCTATTCAGTATCGACATATATGTTATAAAACAGTAGTAAATCGTGTTTTGTATAAAAAGATGCTGATGTATACCACCTAGTATGATGAATATTAGTTAATAAAAATATTATAGAAAAAAATCAAATTATAAAATACAAACTACAAATGTATGACTTATGACTATATGTAGTATTTTTTTAAGCCTTATAGCAGCCAAATTTAATTATCGCTTCTATAAATATGTCGTGTTTACAAATTTAATATTTGGATATCACCATTATTATACAGCTCAAGAAAACACTTTACCTTAGTATTAGTTTCCATGCATCAAATTTATAAATCAGACTTAAACAATATAAATATATATATATAAATATAGAAAGATAGATTCATTTTTCAACAGCTCAAACAAGAGACTTTAAGGATTAGCGTTAGATATAGGCGCTTGCTTTGAAAAACTGGTTCGAAATCGTGCCGATATCGCTCAAGTGTAGGTGAGAAGGTCAAGGCTTCCTGGTGATAGGATGAATACATTTTTTAGCTAGGTTCCAGGACTGTCGATAATTGAACGCGGGTCATTCACACGGTTGGTATCATGAATTACGGTATTATTAGCTACGCTAATGAAACGAAACCGCGCGAGGATCCACGGAGCGCTGGGTCTCGTCCTGCAAATCTCATTCGACCTGCGAGCTTCGGGTGGGATACTGTGTTGTTTGTGTGACGCGTGCGCAATAATGAGGAGTGAGGAGTACCTAGCCTTGGTGGTTAAGTCACATTTATTCTGTGTACTTATTCAATAATTAATATTAATTTGTTATATTTTATGACGTGTTTTTAAGTGTATTTTTTTTTTAAAGTGGAATTCCTGGAAGTTTAGTTTGTACGCGGTAATAATATTCATATTTATTCTCGACTGCAGATTAATTAGAAGCATGCTTATTATGTAATACGCATATTTCCTGACATACATTATTTTCTGCTATATTATTGCATCGAGTTTCTATCGATAAACTCAATTATGTATAAAGGTATCTAATCTGATAATGCTTCTAATATTTAATAAATTTTCACATAATAGTTTAGTGTGGCTTGGCGTGGCGCGTTGGCTGCTTCCATTTGCGGAATGCAACTGCGTGTAAGTAACGGTCACAACTACTAGCTTCCGGATGGGTGACCACTCGGGATCATAGTGGTTAAAAACCTTGCCACACATACACGTGTTTGCTATCAACCGTAACAATCATAAAAATACAATCTACCGTACCAACCTTACCCTCTACCACAATTAATAACCCCTACAGACAGCTAATGGCCCTAGTTGCCGGGCTTAAGTTCAATAAAAATAAAAAATAAAATAAATAGTTTAGTGATGACATTTCATAATTTAGTAGGTATAGTATCAAACCAAAATATTGATTTTAATCCAACGGATTTTTTTTTATGGTTATAACGTATACTTTGAATTAAATTTTATTTCGATATTATCGCTAGTTGAACAAACTTGACCAACCACTTCTTAAAAGAACATGGATTTGGTATTTGGCCTAATATACTTTCCGCATTGGATATTTAGACATCAATTTTACTGCAGATTAAAGAACTTATCGTTATTTTAACCTTATCCGTTAGTCACTTATGTTAAGTAAGCAATAAAAGTCCTTGAAATTACATTGGTTTTATTGCCTAATAGTTGATTGCAGTAAAAACGTGACAAGCCTATTTTTTTTTATGTAGATATCTCAATTGTTGAATAATTTTAACACTAATTCCATGTGATTTTTTGAATAAGTATTATCGAATGAGGTTTGACTTTACTCATCGAAACGACTACACAATTTTCTCTACTTTAATACTTAATATAAGAGTAAATTAAACTATAATTACACTACTTTTAAGTTATAAGTTATAATATATCTTAATTTGTTTTTTGTTCTTTGTTAAATTTTATTGTCTAATAAAAGATACTTTTTAAAAGTATTTAAGCACAGATATAGATAATTTTTTAAGAAGTATTTAAAATACGTATTTGAATGTTAAATAAAAAAAAAGTATGTACAGTTAATTTTGTGCAAATAAATATTTTTAATATTTTATGTATAAATCAACTAAATTGAATTTGTTTTAACTTTTTCATGGTTCGCATTAATTTTATAGCTCATTTTGCTTTATGTATCATTTGATGTAGATATGTAAATTAAAATTATTTATCTGTTTTCTTTGTTAAACAATTTTAATTTTTAGCTGTTTAAACATTTTTTACAAGACTCATTTTTTAAACTAGTTACGAATATGTTTAATATTATGAGTTAAAAATAATTTAAAATCGCTTAAAAATTAAAATATCGTAAAAATCCAACGAATAAACAAAGAGTTTTAATATCCTTATTATCTTTAAGTTTTATAATTTTTTTTTTTTTTTTTAAATAAACCAGCAATTACACAAAATTGGTTATGCCGAACACAAATGTATTATGTGTACATACCTACCTATATGTTTTTAATGCAGATATTGTTGGAGTGTGAGACCACTGGTTGGCCATGGTAATTATCTGATGTTCAATATGAGCTGATAACGATAATATATTTTTATTTATATACGTATATTTTCACTAGATTTCCGTATTATTTCTGCAATACATTCTTATTGTACCTAGTTATTAGTTAATTTATTGGCTAGTGTAAATGGTAATGACAATGTCTATGAATTATACTCACACAAGACCCACGTAATAACATTGTATTATTGATTTTTTATAATAATTTATATGATATCGAATACGTCGCGTTACGTCAACACCTATATGGAGATTTCCCTATACGAACAACGCGATGAGTTAAGAAACATACGTATTTCCCAATTAGTACAAGAATTGCTATGATTCGATAGAAAAATCACTTATCCAATCTATTGAATCAATGTATAAATATAAATTCATTAGTGTTGGTACATTATTTTTTTTTGTCATGTAGCTGTAGGAAATGTATATTATAGATTATACAAAGTGAATTATGTTTATAAATTGACACTCAAAATTGTATGCAAATAAGAGCATGCTATGGTATTAATTAATACAATTATAATTATATCTATGAGTAAATCTACATATCATCATTAATAGTATATGTTTTTATCTCATAAGTTCCGTTAAGTGTATGGCTCAAGTAGGTACGTCGAACACTTTGGTACGTTTTAGGTGTAAAATATTTAAGATCATTTTTTGTTTACCTTAACTTTACTTCGTTAATCAGTAATTTTTTTTATTATTTCAATTAAATTATTTAAGTCCATGATGTAAAATGCGTTTGACCTGAATACTATACATTATTTATAGTATAAGTAGGTTTATCGTATATAATATATTTAATATTATATATGCGGCGTATTAGTTGAATCAATATACATGTGATGAGTAGGTTTATTAAAATTATAAAATATAATAATGATATTGGTAAATTTTGTTAGACCAAAAAGTTATAAAAAAGTAAAAGTTGCATACGTGTATAACAGTTGCAGTCCTCTACATTTTTTATATCTACCTACTTTTTATTAGATGTTGATAAAATATATATGCTTTGTAATTTGTACATCAAAACAGTGTTTAATGAAAACGCTATTATAATTTATAAAAAACGTATAACTGCGATTTAAACTTTAAAGACTACAAATATCAAAATAGTGAAATATTATCGATATACGTAACGATGTATGAGAAGGCATCAATATAGTATCGCAGAAAAGCGCCTACACCTCGAGTAAATTTTAAGTACCACGGGTGTTTATTTTTGGATTCAACTATCTCGCCAAATTCTTTGTTATTATTGACAAAGGTCGGTGTAATAGATGTGATTCCATGAATATCGACTTTACCATGGAGAGCAGTAGTCAATTAATCTATCGATGCTGTCAATTTTGAATTTTTAAGTTCTTGTAATTCGAGATTGAGGTGCAATTTTTCATTTCTAAAAAATGGCCAACTTGTAGGTGGACTAGGAGATATATAAACTTTCCGAATAGACAATATTCTAATCTTAATTTCTAAATTTATATTTATATTTTTTAAAGTATCGTTAAAAAATGACAATCGTAGGAACCTACCAGAGACTATTTTATGAGTTTTTTACTATATAGGTGGCATTATCATTATAAGAAATAGATACTAGTTAAATTATTTACCTAGAGCTAGGATTTTAATCAGGGGGGCAGATAACTTTTTTTTTCTTTATCACAAAATGTATACGTTTGTTATCTAATGAATCTAATGAAATTTTTTTTTCTCTTTCCATTTTATAGTAAAATTTACACTCCACACTTGTCGAGTTTATCTTTTTATGTTTTCTACTTGTGACACGAAGTACGAGGTACATATTCCGGTGATATTGAATTAAATCCATGCTACTTTTATGTGTTTAAATTGTCCAGCTTATTATCTTAATACCTTTGAATTGAGTCCGTATAGATAAAATCTCATAACTACCTATATAGTCAGTGACATACAATTAGTTATGATTCTTACTTAATTATTAAATTATGACGAGTAAAAAGAGGAGTGTATGTTTAGATATTCACCTGTAAAATAATTATTTCTTCTCAAACAATTTTAATATTTTGTTATATTTCCAAAAATAATAATATAAGTATATACTTGAAATTTCCAAATTATTATTTTCAATACTTATATTATGATAACATTTTCAACAAATTTTAACTCTTTTTGAAATATTTATAGGTATGACAAATTTTCAATTTTTTTTTTTAGTATTTTTCTATAACTGTCGTTAAAAAAATTATTCTTTAGGTAAAAAGTACCTTTATTTGTTATTATTTTTGATATTTTTTAATCATTTGACTCGTTATACTTATTATTACAATTAAGGAAAGAGACTCAACTTGAATAATCTAACAATATTGGTCGGACTTAATTTTGATACCTAACCTAAAAGTATTTGCGGGACTCAATTCAATGTTTTCCGCACATGTGTTATCACTAAGTAACACTTGTGCCACCTACTTTATTTGTGAAAATATGCTTTGGTACCTACCAATCTTGATATTATAAATTATCCGCATATGACTATTATTGCAATCTAGACCATTTAGGTTTTTTTGATATTTTATTTTAATATTGATGCAAGTTATGAAAGATTAAATTTAATTATTTTTAAAAGCTTTGATAGGGCCTTGGATGATATTCATATCTTTAAAGATTAATTTACTTTATAATATTAAAAAGGTAGGCAAGTGGGCTTTGCTGTATATTAGGTATCGAGTGGATCACTATTATGAGTATGTTAACATTTAATTTAATTATACAACATAATACATGAAAAATAATTATGAGCAGAAACGATCTGAAAGTTTATATCACAAACTATAATTCATGATATATATTTTTTTATGTGTACTTATAATAATACATACTTACACCATATTAAATCAATTTATATAACTCAAAATTTAATAATATTTTTCTATAAATACCAAACAGAAATAGGTAGTATCATAAAATTACTTAAAATGTCATTGCGTTTAGTAAATTTATAATAATATAATATAGGTAAAGTAACAGAAGTTATACGTTTATGTAATTTTCCGTGAATGTTTTTAAATTATAACAAAATAATTAATATCGTTATTTATTGTTTATCTAAGTTTTAACTTAAAAAGTTTATAAAATTAATTATCTTTATATTCTATAGAGATTTAATGGTTTCAATATAAACTACTTACAAAGAATTTTATGTTAAATTTTCAGATGTAAAACGCGAAGTTTTATGAAATTTTAACTTAAAAATAATTTGTGATTTTGATAAATTTTACTAAGCACTTATAAAAAAAATATTGTGATTTCATAGGTTTTTGATATTTTTTAGTAGAGATATTATAAATTTGAGAGTAGTTTTAAATTAAATTTTCAAGTATTTCTACCCTGTGAATAGTTTTTATATGACATTTATAAAAAAAAAACTAAAAAAATTCAAACATTTGATAAAAATTCCATGTATTTTTGATAATTCTTTCTCGAATTATATCAAAAAATAAAATCGATTTTGTCGAAAATTGGATTTAAAAGTTCCTGTTTTTCCTTAATTTTTTTTTTAGATTTTTTTAAATTAATTATTTTGAAAACTCTTTGAAATTTTTAATTTTGATCATTCCAAAGTATACACTAGATCCATTTTTTTTTTATCCAAAATCATCCTTAGAGTTGAAACTTGAAACATTTTATCGAATACTTTCGTATACACATACATCAATTAATAAAAACACATATCATTGTAAAATCAATACATTCATTGCTCTGCTTAGATTCTTAAACCCTTAAACGAATAAGTAAAATTAATTTTACTGGACGTAAAATTTGCTAAGTCAACAAAACATAACACTAGTAAGTCGGAAACAACAGTGAGTTGTTTATTTATTTTGTATTTATATCATTTTTTTAAATTATAAATATTGGTGCAAATTATTTATTTTTTTATGTACATAATAATATATATTTCTGGCACTTTGTAGTTATGAAATCTGTTAGATATATTTTTAAAATTATTTTTCATCTATGCTTAGATCACAGATATAGCAAACAAAACAGGTAGATTAGACTTTTAGAAAACCGGTTTTACAATTGATGACTTGTTTTTTGAGATGAGTTTTTAATTTTGTAGTTATGGATTAATATACACATCGTTTAATTCTCAGTGGCGTATCCAGGGGGGGGCACGGGGGCCATGCCCCCCTCGTTGGCCGTATTCACTAGATTTTGTTTTAAATATTTAAATTTATTCGTATGCATGAATGCAATGAACGCATACTACAATAATACTCTTATACCAGCATTCAGTAATCACTATTACCGTTATCAGTTTTATTTTTCCTTATATATTAAATTTAAGTCAAATTCTTCAAAGTAAACAACAAGACTTATCAAAAGCACTAAATGATGTTATAACTGTACGAGAATCTTTAGAATCTATAAAAATAATTTTATACAATTATTAATATTGTTTTTATACACTTATAATTTTGTTAGGATTAACCCGTTTTTATTATTAAATTACTATTACTATTTATTATTATGTATATATATATAATATTAACTTAATGACTGACTGAAAATATAAACAAATTATTTGCATTATAAAAATTAAATATTTGGTTTATTTTATTTTATTTTTTTGGTAGTAGGTAGTATATATGGTAAAATTTTAGACAGTGTGTACCCCTCCCCCTCTAAAAAAAATCCTGGATACGCCACTGTTAATTCTAATAATTTAAATGCATTTATACTTTATTTACATTACGTGCATTTCTTTTAATAGTTTGAGTTAGTACGATATTATTACTTATCGATTGGATTTTTATTTAATAAAAAAATTAATTTAAGTTTTATTTTACTATTTTACATGGAACAATGAAGGTTAATAACCAACCAAAGTTAATCGGCTTAATTAGGAGGTTTATCGTGTAGTATTCTAATCAAAGAAACATGTGAGTGCACTTATAACAGGATATTTGTTTTCGAGGACAGTTATCGTAGTGCATCGCCGACGGTGTCGATGGGCGATGGCCAATCACGGCCATGTCTTGAATATGCCAATGTAGTCAGCTGAAATCGGTTTTATAGCCAGTTGAACGATGAATCGCGAAACGTGAATAGTGACGTTGAGTGAGGACCTAATGTCGGATAACATTTCTTATACAGACCGTACGATGTTGCATTCTTTCACTGTTCAAAACGAACTATAGAATTTTTTATCTTCAAATAATTGTGTATTTATACACACTTATCAAGATAGTTGTATTATTATATAATATATCAGTAGGTCAGTTGTTAACACAGATTATTTTTGGAATCGATTTTAAAAGAACTGAAAATGACCGGCTCTTGGACTGTAAGTATTTGAAGTGGTTGCGATTTTTACTCCATCGTCATTTAATGTCCTATTCAGGTAGACAGTCTTTTCGTAATAAGGTCATATAAGTACCTATCATATATTTTAATAAATTAGGTGAGTTAATAATTGTTCTACATTAAAAAATAAAAACTACATAAATAATTTAAATACTTTTAGCATATGTAAATCTATATTAAAATTATTTATTAATTTATTATTTTCTAATAAATATTGTAAATTACATTAAAAAGAAATCGTAAATTCGAACAATAAGCCTATCAAGATTGTATTGAAACGTCGAAAACCCGATATTTATATTATACATACCGATGATCAAGTATTTAAGTGTACGAATTTAGCGTTATGAGGCCTTACTACAGAGAATTTGACAAAAGTATAATTATACTTGTAATATTTGTGAAAGTAAAATAGTAATAAAAAAAAAAAATAAGAGCTAAGAAAAAATAAAAAATAGTTGGTAACAATAGTGAAAATAATAAAAGTTCCATATAATTTTTTATTATTCAGTGTCATAAATAGTAAATTTTCAAAATTTTTAACTGTTTACATAGATTATTTTAGACGAATTTCACCATAAAGAAAAAAAATCACAGTTTTAATATTTAGAAATTGAATTATAATATGGATAATTTTTTACACTCATTCAAGTTCTTATAGTTATAATTAGACCCCCTTTAATTGTCATTGCAGATATTACGTCACATCTAACCTTCAATTATATTTTAACCAGTTTTATCTAAGGTTTTTTCCTATAACTTAACAACCATAGGTAATTATTTTTATACTAAAACTTTTTATAATTGTATCCTGTAATTATTATGTAGGTATCTCATCAAAATTTCTTCAATAAATAGATAAATTAGACGATATGTTTTGATAAGTTTTCATGCGTAAAGCCTGCAAGGTAGTATGATAATGAAATAAAAAAATATATATATGGAATTTATTAATAAATTAAACCACAAACAATTGAATAGAAACTGGAATGTATATATAGTTTTTAATGTAATTTTATAAAAGATAAATAATGTGATTTTTGTTTAGCGAAACGTGAAATGTAATCATTAATTGTTAATATTTATTCTTTTTCTTGTTAGAAAAACATTTACCAAAAACTCAGTCGAAAAAAAACTTACGTGGAAGAAATCGGACTCGAAAAGGAAAAATTTAAACGAGTGCTAAACATCGTGGATTTGACTGCATTAGGCACAGGTTCCACGTTAGGATGTGGTGTTTATGTGTTGGCCGGAACAGTAGCAAAATCGGTTGCCGGTCCAGCTGTTGTATTGTCTTTCATATTAGCTGCAACCGTGTCTTCGTTTTCAGGTAGGTACTCGAACTATTATGAAATCCACAAGGGCTGTTATAATTAAATTTTTAGTTTTTTCATTCGATAACTATGATTTTTGAGTGATGGAGAAATAGCTGTAGCTTTGATTATGATATCATATTATACATTAATAGTTTGATATAGGTGAGTAGCAATCTGTGGATGTGTATAAAATAGGTTTTGATTAACTGTGACTATATACACTATTAATATTCTACTAATTATGATAACAAAAATTAAATTATATTTTATAAATAACGTTGTATTATATTTTTTACACGATTATTGTAAGTTTAGTACAATAATATTGCTGCACCATAACTCTTAAAAAATGTTTCCACTCGGAAAATGATAGGTATCTCCTCACCCCATAAATACATTAACGTGTCAAATCAATAATAATGCATTCAACTTATTGTATACTACCCAGGAAATGACAAATCTCATTATACAAATTTTCTATCTATATTTTTATGTACAAATACAATGAATACATAGTATGATTATACATTATACGTAGGTACTATTATTATAAACGATACGATTAGAAAAGGCATTGGATATAAATTTACATTTTTAACGAAACTGTAAGTACTTCGCTATGCTTACATATTTAACGTGTGAAGTTGCCATGTAAGATTAGTTACGTAAATTTTATTAGTTTGATTTAATCTCTTTTTGATTTCTAGGTGTTTGTTATGCTGAATTCGCTAGCCGGGTGCCCAAAGCGGGATCTGCATATATTTACAGTTATGTGGCGGTAGGAGAATTTATTGCGTTCGTCATTGGTTGGAATTTGCTGCTGGAACACACAATTGGTTTGTTATTTATGATTTTAAATAATACGTATGACAGTTATTCGCTCTTACAAACAATTATATTTTATTCTAACTCGTAATATGGCTAAATTTTTGAGTAATGATTTTTAAATTTTTTTTAGGTACCGCTGCTGTTGCCAAAGCAATGAGTAACTATTTAGATTCTTTACTCGGAGATCCTCAGAAAAGATTTATGAAAAAATATTTTCCAATACATATGGAGTTTTTGGGAGAATATCCAGACATTGCATCATTTTTGTTTATTATGTCTATCGCTTGTAAGTTAGTTTTATCACTTCAATAACATAAGCTTTAAGAATATCATATTGTATTTAGAGTAAATTTTACAATAAAACTAAACAATTTTTCGTGTCACGCAATCATCTTTTCAAAACGAGATGGCTTTGAATATATGAACTAGACAGAAATATATCTATTGCACTATAAAACGTCGATAGAAAACAATATTTAACAATATTATTTTTGAACTAGAAGGTTAAGAATATTAATTAATTTAATACTTTATGGTTAATCACTGATAATTTACATAATACATTTTTAATTATCCATCTTAACATATTTTACACGTGAAGTAAAATCACTATAAATTTAAAAATAATGTTAAGAATTTAAAGTTTTAAAGCTGTTGCTGTACATTAACTATTTTTGTAAGTTTAATAGTTTTAAATATTTTATTTTATAAACTGGTTTACATGATTAATGAGACACGAAAAAGTAAATTTGGTATATTCATATTTTGAAAATAGTTAAAGTTAAAAATAATAATAATTACATTGCTTGTTAATTTACAGTGGTCGTGGCCTGGGGTGTTCGTAAATCGTCAACTTTGAATAATCTTTTTACTACATTAAATTTAGTGACTGTGTGTACGGTCATAGTAAGTGGATTTTATTTCGGTACGTATTTAATATGTTTAAGTATTATAATTAATAAAAAATATGATATGATTATTGTGGTATGAAAAATATTTTAATATTTTAAAACGTTTTGGTAAATTATTTATATTATACTAACTCATTAATCCCATCGGTAAAACCTAACATAATACAAATAGGTAACGTATATAAATATAATACACAAATATATAATTAAACAAAATTGAGTTAGATTATTTTGTTGTTACTATTATTTGATTAAGCTTTAAATTAAGAACCATAAAAAAAAATATAGTTAAAATAAGTTAAATAACAATAATTATACTAATAGGTAGCATTATAAATCTATTATTTTGATATGGGTTTATTATAGACTTAATTTATTGATTACTATTTTAATTAATATTTTTTTATAACAATATAACGTACATCAGTCATTTTATTTTTGTTTTTGCATTCAAACAGTATCACAATGTTTAAATATATTTGATTATCGAACCAAAATACATCACCAATAATATTTCTTTTGCGACTCTATTCTAATAATAATCATAATATATGTATTGCAATAGTTATAAGACATATTACAATAATACTATTGTGAAACATATTTCATCACAACTCTACAGTGTGTAGAATACATTTTTCCAGATCGTCGATAAAGTTATATATATATTTACTTAAATTATTTTTTATTTTATACTATTACTCGATTAAACTTAATATATTATGTAAATATTAATTTAAAAATCCTTTCACATTCTCCTACTTTATTTTTATCTGTAATTTCCATAACATACTACAACTTACCAGAGATAGACCACTTTTATAAACATGACCACTAAAACTAAAATTATGTTAGAGTAAGTATATGTAATTGATTAACTAACATTACACTTTTTTTAGAATCGTATTATTTCATAAGTATTAAACTATTATTGAAATGCATTTTCTAAATATTAGAAGTTATACTGGCTTACTGTACTTATCTATTGGAAATAATATTTTTTCCGGGTTCGTACGTGTCCATGTGTATTATTCATGCACTTAGATTTAAATTTAATGTTCTGATAACGAATGTTATTAAATTTCTATAATAAGTTAGCTAAACACTAGATACCCATTAACACTTAAGATTTTTTAGCTTATATATTTTTTGAGAACTTAATAATTAATATAATTAATATGGATTTATGTTCCTTCATAGTTTCCTTAATTCGATTTTACTTTTGTCTCGTAACGTATTTTTAAGGGGATAAGTAGTGTACAATAATAAAAATGTACAACTTAATACGATAAAACAAAAGCTATATCTGAAATTAAAAAAACGATTTCGATAAAAAGGACTTACGATTATAACCAGAAAAATAATGGTAGTATAGTTATGCTAATTAAAATATTCCTAGTAACTATTTTCTTCAATATCTATCAATTTTTTTTATGATTTTCTGTATTCACAAAATATTATGAAAAAACGCAATAGTGTTTTATTTTACTTTTACAGTTTTATCTCATTTAATTACTTATCTCACCTCACCTTATTTGCGTGGAAGAAACCTTAACTTTTTTTTTGATTTTAGCGAATTTATCGAATTGGTTCATCGATAAAAAGGATATCCCACCCGGAGTAAACGGTGGCAATGGTGGATTCTTGCCGTTTGGCTGGACTGGTATGGTCGCTGGAGCTGCAAGGTGTTTTTATGGGTTTATCGGTTTTGATTCGATCGCTTCAACTGGTAGGTATTATTTTTTCATATAAAATATGAAAATTTCATTACTTTATATATATTTAACGATCATCATTCATCAATAATAATATACCTAATAAATCTTTGTCGTGAACAAAATATACCCTTACAGGTGCATAATTAGTATAATATCTACCTACTTGTGTGAAATGTTTCACATAGAATTTTAATTTTGAAATATTTCAACAAAATACCAATGATTGAATGTCATTTTATTATTCATATTTTCACAGAAGTGCGAAATGATTATTTATTATTATCAGGTAATGTACAATAAGTACATTTTAATAAAATACATATGTTTTTATTAAAAAAAAAAAAAAACCATTAATTTGATTTATTTTTTTATGTGAAAGTATGTAATCTACTTTTTATAAAATAATTTGATAAATTAAAAATGTTTAATGATACAGAACTGTTATGTGATGTGATTGTATGGCTGAACGAATAAGTTCCTATTTATTAGATTTCACATATTACATATAAAAACAATTATAAAATCACTGTGTTCTTACAATATTACTTATATATTAAGTTAATAAGTAAAATATTAGCATAGTTTTATCAAAGCTTAAAAAAAAAAAAATACGATACACCTATTTGATAAGAATTGTGTAAGTACTTCTGTTAGTTACTTTAAATAGATTTTGTATCATAACATTTAGCAAACGAAAAATTGTCGTAAACACTAATTACCACTGACGTTTGTATTATTTAGGCGAAGAAACAAAAAATCCCAAAAAGACCATCCCGCTGGCAATAGTTTTGACACTGTTCAACGTCACGGTTGCGTATGCGAGCGTAGCGTCGGTGTTGACGCTGATGTGGCCGTATTACGATCAAGTATACCCTTATAATATTATATTTTAAAGGTTTAATGACAACCGCAAACCGATTCGATCCACCATGATATTAAGTAGCGATCACATTGTTTTAGGATGCGAACGCACCCTTACCGATCATATACGACAACTTGGGGTTGCCTGTACTGAAATACTTGGTCACCGGAGGTGCGGTGTTTGCACTATTTACCACGTGAGTGGTTATAGTTTTTATTTAAAATTTAAATTTTGCCGAACCAGTGGCGTAGTTATGATTTTGTTCTAGGGAAGGGAGATATAAAATTCATTGGATAAAATAATAAAGTAGAGGCTTATATAACCATGCTCGTATAGCCCGATATATCGTATATTATATACATGATTTTAACATGATATGGATAATTTTATAATCTTATATCGAGTATAAGTCAATGCATTGAACATAAAAAAAAAGTTCTGGAGAAGTCTATCCCTATATCTCCCCCCCCCCCCAAAAAAAAAAAACAAACTACACCACTTCGCCGAACACGCGTCATACAATAATGTAATATTAATAATACAATTTTGGTCATCATCGTCATCATTTCGTTCGTTTTGAAGCTTGATAGGATGTCTGTTCCCGATACCACGGATCCTATACGCCATGTCCAGCGACGGGTTGCTGTTCGGTTTTTTGTCGACGATCAACGAAAAGACCAAGACGCCGTTTATAGCCGCCATCATTTGTGGCGTCTGTGCAGGTATGAGCATTTTCCCGACGCACAGTCTGTTTGTTTTTATAACGATATAAATAATAATATTACCACCTCATTCAATATTGTAATTGTTTTTTTCGCAGGGCTTTTGTCGACTGTGTTCAATCTCGAGCAGCTCGTCGATATGGCATCCATCGGCACGCTCCAATCGTATATGATCGTTTGCATCTGCGTTCTGATCCTAAGGTGTTTATTTACATAATATTACAACGTTTACAATTTTATTATTATTACTCGGGTATCGCTTAACCGAATTTTCGATTTAATATACACGATTAATTGTTATTAGCGTAATACCTTTCGGTGTTATTTAAACGTTTTAATTTAAACATGAAACGTGTTGTTTTCAGGTATAGAAATACTAATTTGTACAATGGAAATTCAGACGATTCCGATGTGTATACAGTTTCCATGTGGTTGAATGTTTCGAACTCAAATATTACCAACAAGTATACCCAATACGTGTCGAGAGTATTGATAACTGTTTTCTGTACGTTGTTATTAAATAATTGAAAATATCAACCATAATATAACATTTGTATCATTTTTTTTTTTGTACATTATTATTATGTTAATAATTTTTTTATGATTCCAGTTTCATGCACGGTAACAAACCATATTATTTTATACTTTATATCGACTCGTATAATAATCGTAATTCATTAAAATTTGTTTCAGCCATCACTGCATGCATATTTTGCATTTGCGTAGTAAATTGGGATTCTCATATAGGCACTGTTCGATTAATATTGGGCTTCATAATTTGTTTATCAGCCATTTTATTATTGGTTGTTACGTTAATGTTAAGCAAACTTCCACAAGCAATTGAAACTTTACCGTTTAAGGTGAGGCTATTATTTTTTGTCATTTATTAATGCTGTGTACGCCGATCACTTCGATGCACATGGATAAAAATAAAACACGCACAGTTTAAATTATTAACAATTAATTAAACCGTGGTGCTCTATATAGTGACCGCTTAGAAAGGTTAACCCCTTTTTGTCTTCTCTTATTTCTTACATTATATTATCATAGCTTAACTTGATTTCCAATATTGGTATGCATAATAATTTGTATTGGCCTATTAACATTTATTAAGACTTATTGTCAAAAACTGGTTTTTGATATAATAAATGTGATTGGATAGTATTATCATTGATTTACCTTGAAATATCTAAAATAATGTTGTATGATAATAATTATGTAACATAATTGTCTAAATTATATTCACCGTATATTTTTGTATACATACTTTTACATAATATAAGTATATAACAACTATATACTTACATATTTATATACAAATTAGAGATAACTAGTTTAATATTATTTTTTTACATTGATAATTCAAAATCGTTTTGTCGCTTTTAGGTGCCTTTTGTTCCTTTTGTACCATGTTTGAGTATAGTTCTCAACTTATATCTGATGATGGAACTAAATTTCAAGACGTGGATTAGATTCAGTATATGGCTAGTAATAGGTTTGTATAAACTTTTCAGATAAAACAGATATTATAAAGTACATAAATAATAGTATAGTTCTATGTAATCATATATAATTATGAAAATGATTATGTTTTTCTTTTACGTTACAGGTTTGTTGATATACGTGTTCTACGGTCTGAAACACAGTATTGAAGGTGTTAAAGACCAAACGACTAAAATCGAAGATGGCAGAGATGAACAAAAAATCTCCAACTAATTTGTTCCCATGATAGATGTATAATCATGCATTTAAGTTTATTGATTTTTATTGGTATTTATATAATTATGACTATATAATAATAATGTTTAAGGCAGGCGCAATTTATCGTGGTAAAACGAGTAACTAAATTTTTTTTATTGTTGTATGAATTTTTTTTTTTATTTTTTTATTGATTTTTTTTCTTTTTACACGTAAAGTATATATTAAGTAACAAAAGCCAAGAAAACCTGTTACTCTTATTTAATTTATAGTTTATATTATTTTGTATCAATATTATTATTTAACATGATGTTTATTGGTCTTAACTCTTGGAAATTCTAAAGTTTCTGTAAAAACGGTTACGTAATAAGCCCAAGAGATATTTTAAGAGCAAATTGTACTAAATTAAGACAGCTTTCTCACGATATAGAATTTTATTAACGAATGGTTTCTCCAATCTGGCCGTTTACTGTTTTAGTTATCAAATAATTTATGACTATTATAAAAATCTCCCTTATAGATTATAATACTAGCAAAATTAACTATGAACAATTTTTTTTTTTTAATTTTACAGTAAATCGTTTATTAGTGTAATTGTATGAATACTGTAAGTACCTTGTTAAAACTACATCTTTATAATTAACTAAAAAACATCGGTTGCCTAAAGTACATGATTAACATTATTTTTTATAATATCATTATTTTCGCTACCAATATATTTTTAATATTTAAATATACTTAAATAAGTACTAGTTTATGAGTAAGAAATATGTGGCTATGCCAAAAATTATTTCGATGGTAAAACTATTTTACATTACAAAAATTATCAACTTGTCATCTTCATTGAAAAAAATAGTACAATGTATGTATAATTATCCTGAAAACATAGATTAATCTGGATTAATCTAAAACACGATTTAGTGATAAACGATAGATAACTACTAGAATTTACTATTTTCATACGAATAATGAAAACAATTATCCAAAGTTAATTAAATCTATTAACATTCTGAATTTTTTTTTAAATTAAAAATTACTAAAAAATGTAATTACCTTTAAAAGTTTAAAGTTAATACGTAAAAAATATTATTGACTCAAAATTAAAATCCTAATACCTATTTATCATTTTTAATCACCAGTGAGGTTACATAATAATGATTGTATAACCATAGAATTCTGTGGTATAAAATTTAAGTTCTAAATAAAATAAGTATTTTTTTAATTTTTTTTTTAATAAAAATGTAAATTTATTACTATTGTCTATTTGTGATGATAAAGATAGAATATTGTATTTTTTCCTATATCGAATAATGGTTAACTCGATAAATTTAATTTATAATTGATCATACACAGAAATTGTTTTTGAACATTATTTTTTTTGTTGATAAGATTTATTTTTGAGGGATTCTATATGACAAAGCCAATTTCTATGATGGAACAAAAACGAACTTAGGTGAAATATAATGTTTTTACACTCTGAATCCATATTTCCACATGTTGGCTTGATAAAGTTTTCTGCATGCTTAAGTACGCATTAATCCTATTTGGTTATAAAAAAAAAATATTAGATATTATTAAAGATTATCTTAATATTAATGATAGTTATTATTTTATTTAAAACAATTTTTTTTCATTATATATAATTATTTAAAATTAATATAAATCTCTCTCTTTTTTTAACATAATTCTTTATTTAGTAATCTGTTATAAAAAAAATGAACGATAAGCTTAAATGATAACACATATTAAATAGTCATTAGAATGATGGAATAAAGAGATCTTCCTCGAAATTATACTGAAAACATTATGGAATAACAAAATTGTTGTAATATTGACTTCAAGAACAATATATTAGTAACATTTTTATTTTAATAAGTATACGTCGAATATAGTTACGCCAATCAACCAAAAAAATATATGATAATATATTTATATTTTATTCATGTTAACTGTTGACTAAGATATGTTCGTTTACTAATAATAGTAAATTGTAAGACACGCAAATATAGTGATAACAATTGACTTATAGCTATTTTGCTCACTATTTTCACACCAATTTTTGTGAAGGTGAAATTTTCAATTTTTAATATAAGACAATCTCTAATGTCCAATGTGTATTCTCTTGACATACAATTTGCGTGTATTATGGAATGCATTTTATATTATCTATAAAGATTATGCGTGGATCGGTATTTTAACGTAAACACTGAGTGCCTCTTAAGATCGACTTTTAGTATCATAGTGTATTATATAATTATTATTCTTAATATTATATACAATTTATACTAATCATATTATTTCGTTGAAGTAATTTAATATAACGTAAAATATTTCAGATTTATGTGTCAGTAGGTTTAAATGAGAAATATTTAAAATAAAACAAAATTATTTGTGCTAAACTGCTTTAGAATCATATAATCTTCATAAGTTTTGTACATAATATATTTTTTATTATTTAAAAAGAGTAGATTTTAATGGTACATTTTAAAATTAAAATTTAGCGGTAACCTATATTTTTGAAACATGAATCGTGTACAATTTAATTTTTAATACATTTTGATGGATTATTGAAATGTATTTAATTGATTGATTTTTTAGATTTTTTTTTTTGAGAATATAAAATCAATTGGTTAATTGATATTTAAATAAAAATTTTATTTTTACAAAATTATATTTTTTTTATACTTTGCTATTTTGCAGTAATGAAAAAAGAATAATTTAATAATAATTATTTTGTGAAATAAAATATTATAATATACATTCATGATGTACATTATTTTTTGAGAGTAGCTTATTGTTTTTGTTGATAGTTTAGTTTTAGATTGTGAGCGGAGCTTTAAATGTATTGGTGTTACAATGAAATAATTGTTTGTATTATTTTTCTAGTAGATAAAAGTTCCGATTAAAAATTTAAATAAAGTTTGTGGTAGAAAATTTGATTTAGATTGTACTTTATTAAGGGGTCAAAAATAAAAATTTCTTAGTACCATTCAAATAATCAGAAAAAATAAATAAAAAGGTACGAACAATTTTATGCAAAGTCATTATACAAATTTATTTTTATATTTTTTTAGTAGTTCAAATACAAATAACTGTTATAACTTGAACACTTCATGCTTATAATGTTTAAATTTAAGACATGATGAAATTTTCAAAATATTTTGATATTTTTCTAAACATTTATTTAATTTATGACTTTTTTTAGTTGCTATAGACTTAAATTTAAAAACAACTACCCAATTTTTCATAATTTTTTCCTTGTAGCAATTTAAAAATGTTATAAATACATAGTCTTAATTTTATTTTTAAAGCGTGTATTTCAAATTTTATCAAAATAGCGGTAATTTATTTATAATATTTTTAACAAATCTATTACAGTGATACAGTTAAAACAGGATATACTTGACTTTTTGTTTATTATACAATGTACGTAATTGTTATCTACGTGTACCTACGTAATTCATTATCATTATTTACAATCTAATTTATACATAGTCGTATTTGGTATCTAAATAATTGTAAATTAATGTTTGATTTATTGTCTTTTTGATTTTTATTAATAAATAGTGCATAATTTTATATTCTGATGCGCATTTTTATATATTTCAATAAAAATGTACATTATATTCTTGTGAAAGCAAATGACAATATAAATTATGATGTCTATTATTTAATATAGTCACGAGATTAATAAGTCAAGTACGTTTAAATGCCTTGAGTAGGCGAGTTTACAATTGTTCTTGTATATTTAGGTGTGTTAGTCAAATATTTTACAACTCTGCCTACATTTATTCAATTATGTTTTTAACCATGTCGCAATTTATTTCATGATTTTATACTTAATGGGAAATAGGTATATATTAGATATTGAGTAAATTATTTAGTAACCTTATTAAATGGATGAAATTTTAGGCAGAGATAATTGTACTTAAGACTCTAGTATTCTCAACTATAGATTGAGAATTGAATAAAGTTGGGGTTTATTAGTGAATTGGGCATAAGAGTTAACTAAATATATCTTACTTAATATATACTATATAATATAGTAGTTATATTTCGTTGATGGTGTTATTCTATATGGAAATAATCTTACTATAGTATTATGCCATTCTTTTTTTTCTTTTTTTAAAGAAATTATAATAAATTGGAATATAAATATATTATTGAAAAATGATTGACTAATAAAATAATAATTAAAAAACTAGGTTGATTAGTTTATTTACAGAAACGTGTAATCGATTTCGTTTTTTTTTTTCATGTTTTCGAGGCCAACAAATAATAATTCGACTAAGTATTTGAAGATTATACTTTATTAAAGCTATGATATCAGTATATTAATTCTTCTTAAATCGTTGGTCTTAAACGTATACTATAGAACTCTATTGCTATCTGTCGAGCGATGAATTATGTGAATGTGAAGTACTAATATATAAATTATTGATAAGTTGTTTTTAAAACTTTATCATTTAAAGGTTAGTATTATTTTAGGTAAGTATTTTTTAGGGATAGTTTTGTAACTGTTTTGATAGTTTTGTGACTTCGACCGATTGCTGGATACATGTTTTGTATCACAAAATATTCAAAATTGATGTTATAACGAGTTCGATTTAGAAGAATTCCACTTTACGCATAATTCAACATGAGAAACTCGTGGTCTGTAAGTTGTATCTTTTTTTCTGGCATTTCAAAACTTTGGTTCATGAGAGCATAAAACGTGTTTTGAGCGATGCTAATTATTTTAAAGTATTTTTTTTTTTTTTGCATCTTTTTAAATTTTTTAACTGATTAACCTTAAACGTATTTATTGGGCATTTTTTGACAAATTTTAGTGTATTTTTCACAATTTGTTCATAAATGAACGAAAATTGTTACAATTAGCAAGAGATTTTCGACAAACTACCGACGCTATGAATAATTAATTATATAACACAAGTTATTGTCGATAACAAATATTTTCTCATAAATAGGCTTTTCCGCTAATAATTAAGAAAAAACAGGAGATCATTCAACTAAACAAGTATAACAACGTATAATACAAAAAAAAAAAACAAAACAAAACAAAAAAAACACACACTACTGTAGTATCATTTTAAAATTTTTTTCCAATGTTTAAGCTATAATTGAAATGCATTTTTATACTGTATTTTTTGAGTTATTTAAGTCAGTTTTTGCATTTTTTGAGATTTTATAGGACATTAAAATCCCAGCCTTAGTAATTACTAAATTAGAGTATTAGGTTAGATTAATTTGTTTAAGAGTTTTTAAATAACTTAATTGTTGATGTATCTATAGGTGAACAAATGTGTAGATCTAAAATAAATACACTTTAATAGATACCACCTGTATTATAAAAATCATGTTATTTATTGATATATACATATATATATATTCATGTAAGATGAATAATTGTAGTACTAGTATATGTATAATATAGAAGTAGAAAAATATTATATGGTACTAACTACTAGTGTACTAGTTTATTATTATATAAAAAATCCATAAAATATAAATATATAATTAAATTATAAAAAAAATAACTTTTGTCTTCGATATTAAAAAAAATTTCATTTTGTGTATCTTTCATCAGTGATTCCCAGGTTAGATTAGGACCGCTAATCGTTAATTTATTACTTCATAATAAGTTGTCTGGATCAATGGTCACGCTTATGCAAATGACTAGGTAAGTCAAGAGTACTTATCCGTGATGCAAACGATATATAATGAATTGAACATTTTTCTTCGTTAAATATTACATTTTATTAAAACAAATACGCGATATAAGCAAGGAACTTTCTTAAATATATATGAAAAAAATATAAAAGAATATATAAAAATATCCTGTCCAATTGAAGTTTTAGCTAGAGATTTAATGCTAATCGTGAGCCATTGCTTTGCACTATTGTTAAAGTCACTATATAAGACAATGAAAAAAAGTACGTTTGATTGCTATATAATATAATGTAATATAGGATCCTGAAAATATTTCTGTGAATCTGGTTATTCTTCATAAAAACTTTTTGTGATTATTACAATGAAAAAAATTGTTTTAAAATAGTGTGTTGACTTATTGATTAATTTTATTCATCAAGTTGTGTTTACTATTTGTACAGAACCACAATCTATATCAAAGGCTGTGCAGAAAGAAAACGATCTCTAATGAAGTCGAACCAGGAAAAGAAAAGTTAAAACGAGTGTTGAATCTCTTTGATTTGACCGCTCTGGGAATTGGTGCCACGTTAGGATGTGGCGTATATGTGTTGGCTGGAACGGTAGCTAAATCCATCGCTGGACCAGCGGTAGTATTATCTTTCATTTTAGCGGCGATCGTCTCATCATTTTCAGGTACCTATCAAGTCAATATATCAATATTATACATATATACTTTTGATGATTATAATATACACCACAATAAAATAATATAAAATATATTTTAAGTGCCCGTTTTCCTTTCTGGCTATTGTAGCATCCCTGTAACAATAATAATGGTTTTAGTATGTTTAAAGTTCTGATATTATTCGCCGTTTAAAGAATCATCTTGTTGTTATATAACTACAAAATTGTACTTAATTGATTTATTTTTAAATAATTAATCAAGTTTGGTTATTAAATTCAATTTTTTATTAAAAATAAAATACATCTATATCACAGATTACACAGCGAGTTGTATTGATAAAATATATTGTTGTTTTTATAAGATTCTAATAATGATTTACTAAAAATAAATTGCCTTTGATTTTTAGGAGTTTGTTACGCTGAATTCGCTGGTCGTGTACCCAGAGCTGGATCTGCATATATTTACAGTTATGTGACTGTTGGAGAATTTATTGCGTTTTTTATCGGTTGGACTTTGTACATCGAACACACTATTGGTAAGTTGCTGAATAAAAAATAATCGATTTGAATGACATTTAAAATTAATAATTTTAACGTATAAAATATTATGTTTTGTATTTTAAGTGAATTACTACTTTAATAATATATGTTATTTTATAGGTTCAGCTTCTGTCGCCAAAGCAATGACTAATTATTTAGATGCTTTGTTTGGAAATCCTCAAAAACAATATTTAAAAAAATATTTTCCAATACATATAGATTTTTTGGCCGAATATCCAGATTTCGCATCATTTTTTTTCGTCATATTTATTGCGTGTAATGATTTTATAAATACTTTTAAATAATTGTTGTTTTCATAAAACTAAATGCTATTGTTTGTTATTTTGTTCATTTTTGTAATAAGACAATAAGTTAAATACTTAATAAATATTTGAATATTTCTTAAAACGGGTAATTCAAATAAATTATTGTTTTAAAAAGTAATAAATAGATTAAAGAATCTTAACTGTTTATGTATACATAAAAACATTATTATTAATTAAAAAAACAATAACCAAAATCTAATTTCATGGTAGTTTTATTGTTTGTAAGAAATTATCATGTATTAGTTGCAATAATAATATGTACCTATGTATGTTTGTAATTTTTCAGTGATTGTGGCTTGGGGCGTCAAGAAATCTTCCACTCTTAATAAAGTTTTTACTACGTTGAATTTGTTGACTTTGGCTACGGTAGTTGTTAGTGGCTGTTTTGTAGGTAAGTAAACAAATAAAAAAAAAAAAAATAATACTAATTCATCACTGTTACTGCTGTAGCACATTATTATCAAGAAAATTTGATTCTGAGATATAATTATCAAATTTTATTTTCTCAGATGAATAAAAGAACCATAATATAATTTGATATGTACAATATGATTAGATTTATTTTATAGTACTTACGAGTATTGTAGACAAATTATGAAAATATGAGGCGTAGGTAATCCAAATACAAATTTTGAACAACACCTACTTATTTCATGAGTACTATAAAATAAATTATTTTATGCTATAAATTACATTATTTTAAAAATATTTATATTGTTGTTACTCGTTAATCGATCTGAGATTTATTACTAGTTAAATTTTAGAATATAGTGATAGCAGTTAAGATTTGTAATACGGGTATAAAGCATAATGTTATGTATTGTTATGTCTTCGCGTAAAATTTTCATGCTTGTAATAATTTTACTTTAACATGCATTACTTACAGTCGTGTCAAACAAACGGGTACTTAACTGATTTCAGGTAAACTATCCAATTGGAATATTCCAAAAAATGAAATTCCACCCGGAGTGGATGGTGGCAACGGAGGATTTTCACCATTTGGTTGGAACGGAATAATCGCAGGCGCCGCTAGATGCTTTTACGGGTTTATTGGATTCGATTCTATTGCAACTACAGGCATGACTTGATTATTTTTTTTTAAACAATAATTGCATTTGTTATCAGAATGATATATGGTTCTGTATAATAAATATATAAAAAATACAACACACACACACACACAAATATTATTTTTACACGATTGCAATATAACATTGACACTTACACTTTACATTTGTATTTTAATAAACATTAACTGTTAAAAATTGTATATTTATAGGAGAAGAGACCAAAAATCCAAAAAGAACCATTCCTTTAGCGATCGTATTATCGTTGTTCTTCGTTACGTTGGCATACTGTAGCGTAGCATCTGTGTTAACTCTGATGTGGCCCTATTATGATCAAGTATGGTAGTATTATAACATTGATGTTATGGTCTAAGTCAATTAATTGAGGCAGTGACCCGTAGGGTCGTAGTTTGCAATCCGATTTTAGTCGCAAATAAATGAATTTATAGGATTTATATAAATGTAAACAATATAATCCATAACGAGGTCATTATTAGGCTAGGTGTCTTTGTGGACATAAAATCAGTATTTTTTAAATCATCCATTTTACTTTTACGCATAAATGTACAATATTGAGTAGTGATGTACGGTCTTAATTCTACGGTGTAATTGTTGTACATTTTTTAAATTACAGTATATTGAACATGTCCGTTGTGCCAAAAAATAAAATATAATAAATAAATTATCACCACCTGTCCTCAAAAAAAGTTGTACTTTTTTTGTAACCTCCGATAAAATGTATTTGCATTTTTATCCTTTACTAGGTTTTTTTTTTTTTTGAATAGATTTCTGACCCTCGATTTTCCACGAAGTCACTAGGATGTAATAATTAGTTATTATTATTATTTTAGAACCCAGACGCACCTCTACCAGTCATTTATGCGAACATGGGAATGCCAATCATCAAATATTTAGTTACTTGTGGTGCAGTATTCGCTCTAATGACGACGTAATAATATTAATCATTGTTTTTTTTGTAACATTATGCTTATTGTTTTTCATGCCAGTTTTTTCTAACACACGTTATTGTTATGATTTTATCACACGCGAAGATTATTGGGATGTTTATTTCCTATACCACGAATATTATATGCCATGTCCAGCGACGGTCTTATGTTTAAGTGTTTGTCGTCGGTCAACGAAAAAACCAAAACTCCCGTATTAGCGACAATGGTTTGCGGAGTCGGCACTGGTAAACGCATTTACTGCGATGTTATAATCTATAAATTTATCGTCAAAACTTTTTTTCCAGGCTTGTTGTCGTCTATGTTCAATCTCGAACAACTCGTCGAGATGACGTCTATTGGCACGCTCATGTCGTATCTGATGGTTTGCATCTGCATATTGATACTCAGGTGTGTACAATACACTAATGCGTAGGATTCATTTTTAAGAGTTTTTCAGAAGTATTGAGTAGAGTTAAATTATTTCTTGATACATTTTACTGATCGGTAAACTGTGAGTATTTACTTATATTGATAAACCGACGTAGTCGTAGATGAACGTTTTTTTGTTTACACCGTGGTTCGTGATATATATATAATATGCTAATAGAAACGTATATTATAGTTTATAAAGTTTACAAATTTTTACGTTTTTTTTTCGTTACACGTTACATAATTTGTTTGTTGTCAAGGTATAAAAACAATAATATAGTCAGTCAGGACTTGGACAACTCTGAAGTTCATATATTTTACAAGTGGTGGAATGCATCTAACTCAAAACTGGTTAGCACGGATTCTCAATACGTATCAAGAGTACTGATACTTGTTTACAGTACGTTATTGCGAATGATTTTTTTTCTTTTTTCTAAAACATATTATTATAATTTTTTGTTTTGTTATGTTGTATTATCATAGCGTTTGCCGCGTTTGTGTTTAGCATTTGTATGACAAACGTTGACGGTCGCGAAGGCCCTTTGCAGTTATTGCTGATTATCATGACTGGGATTTCGTTCGTATTCTTATTGATTTCCCTGTTCATGTTATGTAGATTACCACAAGCCATCGAAAATCTAACATTCAGAGTAAGAAAGTGTATAACATCTTTAGATATGCTTAAATTGTATGGTTATCGTTGCGTTTAATATTTATTCAATTTATGTACGTATACGGAGTAATTTATTTAAAGCTATAGTAGTATAGTTTGTTTCACGAGAGACCATGCCGGATTTGCGCATGTAGAATGAAATCGTCTAATCACCTGAGCCGTCGTATCTCCTACATATATGTAAATTTCACGAGAATTTGGTGGGGTATGCGTAGAGTTGACTATATTATAGTTTTCGTTTTCGCGCGACATGATCTTCCGCGGGACAAGGTATAGACACTTATCATTTCAGAAAACACTAATGTTTTGAAAATATTTATAAATACAATTTTAAGCCGAAACAATAAATATTTTATATTTCAAAGCAGAATTTTATTTAGAGTATTTTGATTTATAAAAATTAAATTTGGGAAAAGTAAATAATCAATAATAAATATTTAAGATTTAGATGAGCAGATTAATAATAATTAATATTTTGTTGGAGTTTTATATCACTTCTCTCCTCCAACTCATTAAATATTTATAACTCTATTTTTAAAATTCAATTTGTATGTACCTATTTAAGTACTCCAAAAATATTATAGTTTGAAAAAAATATTTTTAAATACAATGTTATTTTTAATTACTTAAAATTATGAAAAAAAAAACTTTTAAAGTTTTTAAAATAATGTGTATCTTACCTTAAATAAATTACCCGATAGATTTCGATTTCGATTATTGAGATGACGCTTCAATGAAATATTTTATCATTATTTCTAAGACTTTAACCACCAAAATGTAAAGAAATAACATACTTAGCTCATAGCTAACTGTTTTAAGCTTAAACCAATGTAAGTTAATCTATTTATGGTTATATTATACTCGTACAATAGTATAATATGTTGTTTTTTTTATATTTTAATTATAATTTTATTATTTTGTAACAGTATTGAATACACGTTATATATTAACAAAATATATATATATATATATATATATATATAGATGACCCTTTTTTAATTTGACAATAAATTATATTTATCTAATTTTAGCCCCCACGGTATTTTCAATGAAATTTTTTTTCTAAAATTACAAATATAACGTATACGTATAGTAGTTGAATATGCAAAATACTATATGTTTAATATTAATGATTTATATCGTGATGAAACATTATTGGCTCTATTGTGTTTATCACACTTAAGGTATTAGCTTATATAATATGTTATTTTAATTGATAATGATTTATACTAGTTTTGTCATGTTTTGTAAATTATTATTTTTTTTTCATTAGGTACCATTCGTTCCTTTAATACCATGTTTGAGTATAATCTTTAATTTATACCTAATGATGGAACTTAATATCAAGACATGGATGAGATTTGGGATAGGTATTTTAGTAGGTATGTATTGATGCGTCTAAATGGATTATATTTGTATTTACTCAACACAATACTAATGAAGTACAATTAATAACGACAAACAAAATGTAATGGCATATCTTTAATATTATGCATGTTCGTTAAAATACACATAATAACTTTCACTATACTTTTAAAGTTTTTATATTATATAAGCCTAGATAAGTAAATATTTTACTATACCGTATAGTATTTTATTTAGTGATAAATAAAATCAATAGATCAGTTTGAAAATTCAACTCCGATCGTTACATGTTAAATACAAGTAGAGTATTTATATATTTTCACCTTGGCGCATAAAAATAATTATGTGATGTTAGTACTCGTTAAATTTCGAAAACCATAAAAGATATCAAAGTTATATTCACGAATTAGGTTTAGTTGATGATCCCATTGATTAAGTGCTGCCAAAAAAAAAAACATATGGTAAATATATAAATAAATAATATATTAAAAAAATGTATATTTATTTATGTATATAAATATTTGTCATTATTTTTAAATTTGCATAAAATAAACAATAGTTTTTTTCATTTAAATGTGTACAAGCATAAAATATGTTTACAAATAAACACTCATTTGCCAGATTATAGTTAGTTATAAATTTATAATTTATTAATCGATACATTTATTTATCATAAAGCTATTAAATCAAAATATTTTTTTGATAGTTTAATTATATTTTAATACTAGACGAGTTCAATCATATGTTATTATAGAAAGTTAGAACACATTTATTAAATTAGGTTGTTCTAATTCTTTTTAGGGTAATTTTATACATTCATTATTTATGAAAAAGCACAATAATTATATTACTTACATAAAAAAATAAGGAACAATAGATTATCATATGACCAATAACTAACAATATTGGCGATATTTATTTTGTCAAATAATTATAACATATATTTAAAAGGCCAATACACAGTTGATTTAAAACAATTAAAAAATATATTGATAATATAATAAACAATTTAACAGTTTTAAAATCCATCAAAACATAAAAAAATATATGATGATGATTATTTTAATTTTTATTTTATAGGATTATTGATATATGCATTTTATGGAATCCACAATAGTTTGGAAGGTGACACACAACGAGCAATTAATGATAAAGAACGTAAACAAGAAACAAAAATATCTAACTGATTCTTTGAATAATTAAAATTACATGTAATAAAATATTTGCATCTATAATATACGAGTATAAAGACCATTTGCGGTATTACATTTAAAAGTTGTGATGCGATTTTATATTTTTATGAATTAATATAATAAATTACAAAACTACATTGCAGTTTTGTAATGTGTTGTTTTGACAATTATTATTTTCTACCACGGCTGACTGGTTTGTAATATTGTATTTCAAAATTTTAAATTTCCTATTATTATAATTATTTACCAATAATTATAGATTCATATTATTAACAAGTGATTAAATTTGTGAAGTTCTCCAGAATGTATTCTAACTCATACTATGAATTATTTACAACAATTTTCTAATCATTATTTCTTAAGATTTCTGTATATTATTATTCCTTTCTAATCAATTTGATAGAAACGGATTCTTTCTAGTTTCTTCTAATATATTACTGGAACAATATTAATATAATATAATAATATGTTTAGACATAAATTTTTTTATATGAATACATTTAAATTAATTTTTTTTTTTACTGTATTTATTTTTGTTAAAATATAAGAAAATTAAATTTTACTTAGTCACGTTGTACCTAATCAAAAAGCTGACGATATAAACGGGCATTTTATTTTACATATCATAAAAAAAATTTCAGATTCATTACGAATATTCATCGTTGTGAGCTTAGCTGCAAAGCTAACTAAACCAAATTTTCACTTTTACCCAAATTGAATCTTTTTTCAAAGTAAATAAGACATCATACATCCAACACACCTAATAGATTATTACATCACTATTAAATCATAGATACATGAAATGTTTGTAAATTATAAGAAAACATAATATCTCTCTGTATTTCGTATAACAATTAATTTATGAGCAGTTTAATATGAGTTACCTACTTACATGACAAAATATATAATTTAAAGTTTAATAAAATGTTACTTTTCAGTGACTTTCATATTTATTAAAACAATTTTGTGAGATAAAAAAATAGCGGAATGTTGAAATATGCTAAAAAAATTTTTAATTTATAAAATATTATATTTTTAAATTGTATATTCAGTTGTACATCATTTTTGGACCATATTTTAGTTTTTATATTATTAACTCTTTTTTAATTACATCTGAACTTCTCAATCTATTACATAATATTTGTAATGTAATATTAGTCTCTGTTTATGATTAAATAATTTTTTACGTTAGGTGTATATTTTATTATTTTTAATGAAATATAAGCAAGTCTATACCTTTATCCATATATGTTATCATTTGTTTTGACTTTTGGTTAAACGCACTCACGTGAAAAATAAACTTTTAAAATACAAAATATAACTGGAAATGATTTCTAGACTTTTAAAATTTTCTGACTAATAAATATATTACTTATAAATAATACAATTTTTTTTACTAATAAATTTTACTAAATGAATAATTTAATAATAAAATTCAAAAATATATTCTCTCTGAATCTTAAATTTAGCTATTATGGCATAAATTCAGCATTTTTATTTTAGGGTAATAATATTCTAACTGTTCTATTAATCCTAAAGGCGTATATGTCCTGCTTTAGTGTGTGTGTGTATGATTGTGTTAAGCATGGAGGTGTGAAATACATTTTTCATATTAACTTATTTAATACTAATTTCATTAATTACCAGGTAGTTTTTTCTTTCTAAATCACCACATAAGGGTTCTATTATTATTCCTTCTTCCAAATTAATTTTGCTTCAATAGATGACTAAGTCTACTATTACTATTGACTAAATTATAATTTTAAAATTAATTAGTATGACATAAAAAAAAAAAAATTTAAGTGCAAAAAAAGTTAATAACTCATTACCCCCATTGGTTGATCCAGGTATTTATTTAAATAAAAAATAATGCCGTATAGCTACACTGCCAATCTGTTATATAAAATGTTTACTATTTATGATTTATTTATAACATAGTAATGCACCAAGTATGCTCATTCCTATTTATTATTTAATTATGAATTTATTCTGATTCTAATTTTTGGAGTTTTTTTTAAATAAACTTGAATATTGTATTTTTAAATTATTGATATTTCCCGTATCTAACACCCTGAGTCATTCTGTGGAGATAGAAACTTCTGTTCTTTAAAAGAGAATCTCCCTTATCTACTGTAATAATTAACTATAAATATTTTTTTCTTAATGAATTGTCGTAAATCAAAATAAAAAAAAAAAATAAAAAAAATAGTTTGTTAGTTATCTAACTTAATGATTAAATGAAGATTATGATGATTTGGAAATCGTTGTTATTAATATTAATCTATTAACGTTTATAATTCATAAAAATAAAAAAAAATGATTAAAATATAACTAACAATAAATCTAATATTATTAATATTTTATATGTTTCCATAACTATTTGTGTTGATCATTACTAGTAGTATAAATATTTCACTAACTAAAAACAGTAAAAACTTATTCTTTCCAATTTTTGAATTAGGTACATCAACATTTTCAAAAAAATTATGTACTAATCTACATTAAAATGGAAATTCGCAATTAAAAAAAAAAAGTTTTTACCACTACAGGATATTCTAAGAGTAGTAAAAGTAATTTCGAAAATTTTAAAATATAAGTCTTTAATCGTAAATAAAAATTCAAAAAATCAGGATTTGATAATAAATTTGTTATTAAATTAAAAAAAAAAAAATAGGAAGAGTATGCTTAGTTAATCGCTTTATACATATAGGTACATAGTTACATCATACTATTATGTATGAGTGGCACTTCATTAGAACATTCTAAACAAAATATTACATACCTACTTATAACAAACACCTGAGCTCGTTCTTGATAATATAACTCATTACCCGCCGTCTGTTGTAAACTAATTGTAAGATACTGTATTTATAATGCAATTAATAATACATTATAATAATACCTAAAATTATTATAGATAAACATGTGGTGTTACTCAGACAAATGATATATTATTTGTATGAATGAATAAGTACAATAATATGGTTTAATGTATTAGTAACGTAATATCTATATTAAAAAATTATCATTTTTTATGAAATTAAAGGGAAAACGAATTAGAATAATAATGAATATTTATGATCAAAATATTAGTCGTCGATTATTTGAATATGAATATCAAAAGCTTGAATTAGAATTTTATTGTATTATGCAATTTGCCGTGTACTAATATATTAGTATATATAACGACACGTTATATAGATATAGAAGATCGGTTTTTTTCAAATTATTTTCAATCATTCTCAATGGGATAAAAAGTATAATTTACTTTCAAAGCTAGGCAAGAGGAAAAATAATTTCAATTCAATTTTAATACATTTCATATTTAATTTGTGTGGTAAAATCTTTATTTTTTAATGGTAGGTAGAAACTTAAATATTTCCAAAAAAATTTTAATATAATTAATATTCTTACATTTTTATTCTATTAAGTACTAATAACTCAATATTGAATAAAACAAATAAATTGTTAACAGTTGTTTTAATATTAATGAGTAAGTATGTATCTAAATTCTACTTTACATATTTATAGTTTGTATAAACATGATTTTTATAAATTTTAAGAAAACATGAAATATTTTTAATGATATTAACACTTTTGTAGTGAATAAATTAGTGAAACAATATTAAAATATTAATAACAATAAGTAAATAAAATCACGTGCATTACATATTTTTAAGTTAAATAATATTTCAGCTAACCCAAAACCTTAAGCCCAAAATATCACAATAATGGTTTTCAAACTTCGGAATCTGAAACATTAAAGGATTAATTTATTTTATAACAGTTAATTAATTTCATTAGAGGCCTTTTAGGAACGACAAAAACTTAACCTTATCTATGATTACGGAAATGGATGATAATAAATTTTATACAAACCTTAGGTACAGACACAAAGATAATTATTTTTATTGTAAAATATGTTTATTTTTATATTATAACTTAATATTAAAATATATATTGTACTAAAAATTAATTATTAATTGAAACAAATAAAATGTTGGTGTTTGCAGTAATAATTTATTTGATTTTTCTGAAAACATAAATATTTTTGCCAGTACTCCTTTAATATGTTTTATCGGAACTATAGTTGACGTATCTAGCGGAAAATAAATCTACAGATGTGATGTAATTTATTGTTAAATTGACCTATTCATATACGTCAATAAACATAAATATTTCGTAAGCATATTACGATTGTAATTCATAATTAAAATTATTGACATCTCAAGTGTATATTATAATAAATACTTTATGTTAATTAATACACTAATATACCGTCAATGAGTTTATTGATTTCGTATTTATTTTATAAACTACACGTATAAATAATTAATTTTTCTAAAAAAAAAAACAATTTTTTATTCATTACTTTAACATTCAACAAATTAAGAAATGATGTTTTACATTAATTTTACATATTAAATGTTTAATCGTACGAATCGTTGAAGTGTTTATATAAATTAATTATGTATTATAAGTGCTTTCATATCATAGTTAAAAATTATACCTACCTATATAAAATCTACCTGTAAATTGTATCGTTAACTTGATCTCTATAGTATTACTGAGAACTTTAAGGAAAATATTGTTTGATACGTTTTTTAAATTCTATAATATTATTGTTAAACTTATTTAATAAAAATGATATATTCTCTTTATATTCTATTTTGTCAGTATTAACGAGAAATAGTGATACCATTTTTTATACTTTCGATATTTTTTGTTAGTACAGCTGGACAATAATTTTATATTGCATCGTAAACAGATAGCAATTGATAAATATAAACTAAACAATTTAAATTTTTGACTAGAAGATCGATGAGGTAAGTTTTCACTCGAATAATTTTATAAACAATTGTCTATGGTGTGGCGTGTTGTTTCTTTTATACATTTTTTTCGAAGATTTTTATTTTAAATTAAATTATGTAAATTAATTGACATTACTTATAGATCATACTGATGTTAAAATATAAAAAAAAAAAAATTATAAATTAAAAAAAAAAATAGTACGACTTTATCACTGAAATAAGTCACTTTTGTTTGTTTATTTTTAATATTTTCGAGGACAATAAAATTAAATGATTATTTTCTTTCAATACAATTATCTCATAGATATCAGATCAGTGTAAAATTATACTATAAATTCAGAGAAAAATGCATTTAAGACACATTTTATATTAGTTATTGAAAGCCGAACGGAGGATTACGCAAATCTGAAGTGCCGCTGTCCAAATTAACGATTATCGATTTTTTTATGATCGCTATTAAAAATTGATATTATACAATACATCACTGTGATCGTAAGTTTGTTAATGACACGTAGTTTTTACGTTACTGAGGATCGTGAACGGACAATACAATTTATGGACTTTTAGTTACAATTTGGAATTCGCGACAGTATAATATACAAACATGATTCACTCGTGGTCGGTAAGTAGTCGTTTTGCGTCATTATAATATATTTATAATTCTGTATTTATAAAATTAAAAAAAAAATATGATCTTGAAAATGTTTTAGTTGGATGGGATAAATGCACATCAAATATTTTATTTAACCGTTTACTGAATATCAAGATGTTATATTTAATAATAATTTTTAGAACGTTATTTAAAGATAAATAGAGTTATAGTAATAATAATTATGCTATGAGATTAAAATCTTAAGCCAAAGGAATAATTCTGGATAAACGAAACCTTGTTGTTTGAACAAAAGGTTTTTCTTAAATATTTGACTGAGCGATGAGAAAATGATTAACAAAATATTAATTACCTATTACCGGTATTTCGGATTATAATATTAAAGTTTAGAAGTGTAAGAAGGGGAGTAGAGTCAACAGAACCACATCGAATGGAGATTTCGTAGAAAGGATAAGGATATATTACGAAGACAGTAACAATGATTAGCTACGGGGGAGAGATATAAATAATTAGTTACTATTACCTATATAATATAACAATTATTGTTATCAATTTAAATGTTCAATAGCAATATCCCCGTATCCACCTAAACATTTATTTTTATTTCTTAGATTGAATAAAGTATAATCATCTGTAAACGCTGTAAATGTTTATCTTCTACGAATTTTTATCGTTATTAGAATATGATAGGTGCATTATAATTATTAGTTCAACATTTTTTTTTATTGTTGCAGAGAAAAACACTTTTTGAAACTTTGAGTAGGAAAAAAACATTTTCGGCAGAAAGTAAACAGGAAAAAGACAAATTAAAACGAGTGTTAAACATTTTTGATTTGACCGCTTTGGGCATTGGCGCTACGTTAGGAAGTGGTGTGTATGTGTTAGCCGGGACAGTGGCAAAATCTATCGCTGGACCAGCGGTGGTGTTGTCTTTCATCGTAGCAGCGATCGTCTCTTCGTTTGCCGGTATACTACTCACGTCTATATATCTACCAACGATCTGATTTCGTATCGTGATCAGATTCATATAAACATAATAATTGTATATTTGAAACCAAGTCAAAATGTAATCGCAGTACCATAACTTCCACGACAGTTTACAGCGTACATTTTGTACAACCGAAATTTTAAAGAGGTTGTTTGCCTAATGTTTGTTTTTTATCTCAAAATCATACACAGTGCAAATAAAACACATTAATATAATATAATTTTTTTTTTTTGTGATTTTGAGTAAATTTATGACCAGTCCAACGTGCAGTCGCGAGAGTTATCTGTCGTACGCGTCGCAGTCGCGATTTATTTTTATTGCTGTGCAATTGTGTCACTAATGACGACTCTCCATAAAGTAAAATTAACTATTAAAAAAATTACAAAAAATAATATTTTTGAAATCTTTGACGTATTAACTGTATATTTTATTATTATTTGAATTTAAGAATTTTTTTTAACTTAAATTGAATGTGATTTTTTACTCTATGATAACACAAAAACATGAGTATAAAAATGATTGAGAGAAAACAAACAGTCCGCTATTACCTTAGCAATTAAGTGATTTGCCATACAGTGTGATACATACATGTATAAGTGTTATATTATTAACTTAGAAAATTTTCTGTGCTTAGTGTTTTACACAGTTTTTGTGTCTAATGTAAATAATATTATATTGTATCACAATAATAATATGTTAATTTCGCTTTATCATAAAGCCGAACAATTGATTTGTATTTTGACTTTTAGGAGTTTGTTATGCCGAATTTGCCGGCCGTGTGCCAAAAGCTGGATCTGCGTATATTTACAGTTACGTGGCCGTTGGAGAGTTTATCGCTTTTATTATTGGTTGGAATATGTTTATCGAGCACACTATAGGTACGTTGTAACAAAAGTTTAAATTGCATAATATTTTGTCCACACTGAAATAAAAATAATTTCATTTCATCTAACAACCTATACCTATGACTTCTACTTGATAATGACTTGCTTTTAAGTTTTAATATAATTTTTAGGTACAGCATCCGCTGCCAAAGCCATGACAAATTATTTAGACTCTCTGCTCGGTGATCCTCAAAAGAGGTATATGATAACACATTTTCCAATGCATATGCAGTTTATGGGCGAATATCCAGACGTCGCGTCGTTTTTATTCCTCATGTTTATTGCATGTAACTATTAATTACCTATTATCTACATAGTATACATTATATTGATTATTTATAGCTGTAATAAACTAGTAGTATATGTGTACTAAAAATAATTTAGGAGCTCAAGAAATGAGAATTACATCATCTGTGGCCTACTAATTTTATAAGAACTTAATCTTTTGGTGAAACATTAAATTTAGTATATTCGAGTAATCTAGATGTAAATACCTAATCTATAACTTATACATGGACTACGGGGAATTTTTTTTTTAAAGATTAATTTTTAAACCTTAAGATTAGGTATTTGGAGTTATTTATTATTAGATAAAGTGGATGATGCATAACAGAAACATATATTTTACGCATAATAATCGGTTATGAGCTTATGACGAAATGCTATGAAAATGAATGATGATTTCACTTTCAAAACAAAAAATAAATGCATAATACAATAAAATACTAATGCTACTGGTTATCGATTTTCAGTGGTTATGGCTTGGGGAGTTCGGAAGTCTTCCACTCTCAATACAGTATTTACTACATTCAACTTACTGACCGTCGGCACTGTCATAGTGAGTGGACTTTTTTTTGGTACGTATACTGTCCGTGGAACACATAAAATGCCGTTAATTACTAAAAATTAAAATCATATTATTATATAATATATAAGTAGGTATCACTGGCTAATTTTATGATTATTTAACGTATTATTATTACGAACGTAAGCAGACATTTATTTAAATATATAATACAAAATATTATGAAGACTGATAGTATAAAAGCAATTAATAATTAACCAATTTTAGTTAAAATTTCGAATTGGAATATTTCAAAAAGCGAAATTCCGCCCGGAGTGGACGGCGGAAATGGTGGATTCGCGCCATTTGGTTGGAGTGGAATAATTGCAGGAGCGGCAAGATGTTTCTATGGATTTATTGGATTCGAATCTATTTCTACAACCGGTCCGTAATAATTCATTTGTTTGAAAAAATAATATTATTTTTAATTACATTCAAATTTATAATAATAATATTATTTGATAAATTATTTATAGGTGAAGAAACAAAAAATCCGAAAAAAACAATTCCGTTGGCAATAGTTTTTACGTTAATCTTTGTCACGTCGGCTTACTCTGTAGTGGCCTCAGTGTTGACCCTGATGTGGCCGTATTACGATCAGGTACAATTGAAATTCACATATCGGATTTAAGTATTAAATGTGCTTATAATACGTAAACAATATTAAAATATGCTATTTTAGGATCCTAACGCACCGTTTCCAGTCATTTACGAAAATCTGGGTTTACCTGTGATCAAGTATATGGTTACCTGTGGCGCAGTATTCGCACTTTTCACCTCGTAATGCCATTAAAACGTTTAGTCTTTTAATCCATAAAATGTAATTTTGTAATAATTTTTGCTTGGTTTATAGTTTATTAGGATGTTTGTTTCCAATACCACGAATCCTGTATGCCATGTCCTGCGATGGCTTGTTGTTCGAATTCTTATCAATAGTTAATGAAAAGACCAAGACGCCAGTCATAGCCACAATGATATGTGGAATCGGTGCAGGTAAAATATTATTTCAATAGGTATAAAGACTTTCAAAACTTTAGCTGATAAACTATTTATATTTTTTCTAGGCATTTTGTCATCCATATTCAATCTCGAACAGCTCGTCGACATGACGTCGATCGGCACCCTCATATCATATTTGATCGTTTGTATCTGTTTACTAGTACTCAGGTGTGTATCATGATAATAATATGTCTTACAGGACTTATTTTATTATTATATAGTTATAATATAATACATAATAATATGTTTCGTAATAAATGTGTCACTAATGGGTCAACATCAGAAAATTATATTGAAGCTAAAACGCTTATGAAAAATAAAAGAAAACTTTTTAAAATATCCATCCATAATCCATTTATAAATACAAATCAATATACACATTTATAAATAATAATCTATTTAATTTAATAATTTTTCGTATAATATGAATGTCACAATATGTATTACATAATTTAAACTGTTTTTCGATATAGTTATTGTATCTACTTACGCACATTTAATAACAATTGTTTTTGGCATGGTTAAAAAAAAAAATGCACTGAAATTATTATTTTAGTTTTGTATCCAAAATTACTATCTAATGTCTAATATTAACGGCCATTTACGAACTTATCTTAATTTTATTTCACGCATAATAATTAATGATAAAATTTGTAATTTAAAAGACTATGTTATATAAATATGTATTTTTTATTCACCAAATATACTAAAACAAAGTAGTTATTAATTTCTATTTTATTTTGGTGAGAGATATTCCTTAGATTAATAATACTTTGAATTAAAAATATATTGTTTGTGATTGAATATTATTTAATCTTTCTTAAAAATATTTAGCAGATAATAATGCTGTTTAAACTTTTTACTTTACCTAGCTAAATTTTTTTGTAATACAGGTACAGAGACACTAACTTGGAAATTAAGGATTTAGAGAGTAATTCTGAAGACTATAAAATGTACAAATGGTACAGTTTGTTCAACTCAAAAGTTACGAACACGGATACTCAGTATATATCGAGAGTATTGATACTTGTTTACAGTATGTAATCAATAAATTTGAATAATTATTAATAATATTATGTGGTACCAATTAAAATTTAATATATATTTTTATTATTATTGTTATGAACCTTAAAATATTCTATATTTAAATAATATTGTGTAAGAAAACGTCAAAAATCATGTGCCGTGTGTTGTTGGTAAAGATTAATTCACTGATAGAACTTTTTTTATTGTAATACTCGATGGAGTCTCACAGTACACAGCAATAATAAGTCGATTTATCGCTACGCCATATATCTTTAAGACATACAATTTTAAATATGATTAAATTGTTATAGTACAATAAGTTATTTTTTTTAAACTTTACTTTGAGCAATTTTTTTGTCTAGATTATTGTGTTAGTTCATAAAATTATAGTTATTTGATTTGAGAAAACTATTTTTTGCTAAAATAATAATTATTATTATTGTATAATATTATAGCTAAAAGTTTATAGATTAAAACTAAAATTCACTGCTTTATTATGTTGTAGCTTTCAGTGCGTGTGTATTTTGTATTTGTATGGTGAATATTGACTGTTACGAAGGAGCATTTCAGTTACCGTTAATCATTCTAATCGGGGTTTCAATCACAGTATCATTATTTTCCATGTTAATGTTACACAGACTTCCACAAGCAATAGAAACTTTAGCGTTTAGGGTAAGATAATGTATTATGAATTTTACTGATCGATAATAATTTCGGTTGAATGTTTATTTTAACCAGGACAATGTCGATTATTACTAAACTTTGCGCATCTATGGTTGTATCTATATTATTTTTTATAAATTTTAAGTTAAATTTTATTTTAAGCTATTAATTGTTATTAATATGTTTTAATTCCATTTTTATTTAGGTACCACTTGTTCCTTTTATACCATGTGTGAGTATAACTCTCAATTTATACCTTATGATGGAACTCAGTATCAAGACGTGGATAAGATTTGGGGTTGGACTTGTATTAGGTTTGTATTAACCAACTAACGATTTTTTAAGGACCTTTTGTGTTGTTTTATTGATCGTATGATTTAATGATAAACATACCTTTTGTGTTGATCGAAAACGCTTATTACATTTTAGTTCATTAGGTCAATTATTGATTGTTAGTAATGATATAGTATTTAAATTTTTTTTTTTTCCCGAAAATTCAGTTAAAAGTGTACACGTATAAATGTCAGTTTACAATATTATACTTCGATATAAAATATAAATACAGATTATACAAAGTAATTTGAAATGCTTCAAATTAATTTTTCTAAACATACCTACGTATCAAATTATAACTCAAGGCAAAAAATATTGTATCATATACAGAGTTTTTCCCTAAAGTTTAATTTTATCAGAAACCATGGATATCATAAGCATTAGATTAAAATTAAATATGTATGTATGTCAACACTTGCACGAGTATCATGTTCATACTTGATCGTAAAACAAACAAAATATCACTTAAGTTCAGATTTAAACTATATTATGTATGTATTTTTCTTAGGGATAATCATATATGTGTTCTATGGCATTCATCATAGTTTAGAAGGCAGCAAAAAACGAGTGATAAAAAATGAAGAAAATATAAGCACGCCGAGAATCTCTTCCTAATAATATGTTTAAATATTATGATCAAGTTTTATATACTTTTTTACATTTGTATATTATAATAAGTAATGGTTATTGTGCATTAATAGTTACTATAACTACAATTTTAATGCAGTGTTAAGTTTATATATTTAAGTATGTAATTACTAATTACCGTTATATATAGGCATATAGCCATAAGTATTATATTTAAAAATGTGTATTTAATTTTTTTTTTTGAAAATATTTATAAATATTATGTTAAATAATTGTATTTTTTTTTATAATGAAACAAATAAATACACGCATTTTATGGTAATAATAGTGATACAAGCTTTAACATCTAAAAAAGATGTCCTAAAATATCTATAAATATAGTAAGCAACATAAATATTTAGGTATTTTATTTGTATTTCAGATCCGATCGGTATCAGTGTGTCCAGATAGGTACATAAATATATAAGCATATGTTTATTTTGTATTCCAACTGATAGTATCTCGGAAAAATGTGTAAAATATGTTCATGTGTATCTGTGGTTACTCGGTAACACTTTAAGTCTGAAATAAAACAATAATTATTAGGTTAATTTTATGACAAAGTTCAGCATTGGAAATTTAATTGAACGATATTTATAGGTATGTATGTTAATTGGATTTAGATGCGTAAATGATTTGTATAATATAATACCGCATATCGATTTGTGCACGTTATTGAATTACAGCCTGCGAACTACATTTTTCTAAAATTAGCCATATTATTCATTCTATTGAAATGTAGATACTCGTAAAATTATGACAAAAAAAAAATAAATAATAATAATAATAATAATAATAAATAAATAACATTGGATAAAATCATTATTTCTACCGTATTTTGTAAAAATAGTATAATGCATTTTTTTTTATTATACTATCATTGTCGTTAATAGTTAAAATTATTTATAGCACTTTTAATCATAAAATAAGTTTATAATTTTTTCTTTTTTTTTTCAAATTTTATAATACTATTAATATTATGAAAATATATCATTATACTATACATATGTTATCATAAAAAATTAAGACAGTTCAATGCCATAACTAATGTACGACAACTAACACATTAATATTATTATTACAACGTTATGTATTATGTATAAACATGTGTTATATGATATTTTCCTTGTAACAGATATATTTTAAACAAATAAAAACGATAATTATATAGGTATAAGAAACAAATGCATTAGATTGAAAATCGTGGATTTTTCAAGTTCGATTTAAGTACAAGTTGATATTATATGATGTTATGTTTTTCAAAATACAATAATTATTTATTTCATAATTTATTTTATACAGTTCATTTGTTTTACACAGTTTTAGCTTAAATTAACCAAATTTAAATCTTTTTTTTTTTTTTGAACATCTTTCAAAAAATGTTAATGTTAGAATGATATTATAATGATTAAGCTGTGATTCTTGTCCGTTGTTATTATAATATTATAATTATTATTATTTTCGATTCATATCTGTAGTCATTAAGTATGTCATTAACAAAATCAGCGAAGAGTTTAGTCACCAAAAAAACGGGCACATCATGAACTGTCTAATGCCCTCGCCATGTTCGACCAGGTACAAATAGAAGATTTTTGGAGAGCTTTCAACTTAATAGACCAAAACAACGACGGATTTATTGACAAAAAAGATTTGTACGACATGCTGGTCTCTCTTGGTGCGTGCTTTGTTTTTATATTACAATCATATCACAATAATTTTTTGAATGTGTATTAATAATTTTATTATTAATGTTCTCTTCAGGTATAAACCCCAAGGACAATCATTTGGCGAGCATGATAAATGATGCTTCCGTTCCGATTAATTTTTCCATGTTTCTGACGTTGTTTAGCAAAAGACTTCGTGATACAGATTCGGAAGATGTCATCAAAAATGCTTTTAGTTGTTTTGATGAAAACGACGAAGGCTGTATTGATGTGGACCGGCTACGTGAGCTATTGATAACGATGGGAGACAGATTTACAAATGAAGACGTATGTAATAATATTTATAACATGATATTATTTCTGCACTAAGAACTTGAATCCGTTGTTATATTTTGAGATACTACGTTTTGATAAACGTAATGGTTTTGAATAGTAGTATAGTGATGAATACCTACAGTCTGCAAATATCTTAAAATGTCTATCAATATGTATAATGTTTAGGTTATTAACATTTAAATCGTCGATTTTTATTTTTATTTTAATATCTCACAAAGAAGAAAATTAAAATATGGGTTAGATTTAAAGACGTTTATTTTAAACAACCGTTATTGCCAGGTGTGTTTGAAGTTCTGTAAAATTATCATAAATTATTGAGTATGTGCTTTGAGGTAAACTTGGATTTATAATAATATTATGTTTCATCAACACAGATGATCAGTAGGTAAATGATTGTGCTCCGACCCGCGTCTGTGTAAAATGTATAAGTATAACTTTCATTCAGAGCGTGGTTAAATTTTGGTCACCGTTATTGGTGGTTATTTAATTTTTAAGAGTTAAATGAAAACAATTCTTCAATCAAGAGGTCGTGTCCATCACATAGTTTATTTTTTAAGCTTATTAATAAGTATATTTATATTGAGTTCATAAATATTATATTTTTTAATAATAAAAAAAGATCTAATTATTCGTCAGCTTAAAAAAAATAATATCTAAATTAAATAATTGTATCTACTCTATTCGACCTTAGTAAATTATTTACTGAAGATTTATGTTTCTGGCTGATTAATTAAGTAATATTTTTTCAGGTTGACGAAATATTTCGTGAAGCTCCTATTTCAGGAGGGAAGTTAAATTATTTTGAATTCATACGTATTTTAAAACACGGAGCTAAAGAGATCAACGATGTATAAATTATATTTGTTGAATACATTGATTACAATATTACGCAAAAATACGACGTCATAATTATTCATTATATAGTTTATTTTTATAATTATAAGTTTAACGTATAAATTCAGAGGGAACTTGAGGTATTTGTAAAGTTAAATTTAAGTACATATTTGACCAAGCATTTCAACAAATAAATAATATATAGTTTTAGACGGCGTAATGAATAGGCAATAGAGGTACAAACTACAAAGTTGTGCCGTAAAAGTAATTCAAAATGTATACAATATTGATAATATGATGAATATAATTTGCATTTTAATAAATTTATATTTATTTTTCGTTTAAACAAAATCATTTTTTTTACTGCAGGTAAAGTAAATATTCATCATGGTAATGTGGTTATAACAATTATTTTAGTTAATTATTTTTAAGTTTCAATTAACCTAAAAAAAAAATAAAATATCAACGCAATTAAATTATTTTAGTATTACAGTGTACTACTAGCGATTCATTGTATGTATTTATTTTAAACAAACTATTATTATTTATTTGTTGTCTTCAATATCAATGTATTTATAGAAAGTAGAAATTCAATCTCAACGAATGAAATGAGTGTGTTATTAAAATAAAGCGGCAGGATGTATTATATTCTCGACTACTCCGCATTAAAAACAATTATTTCGAATTCATCACGATTTAAGCGTGATTGTTTAAAATAAATGAATAGCAGAATTTATTGTAGGTGCATGCATTTAGCTAAGAGTTAGTTACTCAGCTGTCAAGGTCAACTATAAAAAAAAAAAAAAACTGATCGTAGATTTTCCGTTGAATGTTATCAGTTACCATAGCATGATTAATGGTGGTATAGGTAGATATAGGCATACTGCTGCAAATATTATATTGAAATTTAATAATATTATCTTCGACCATGCATTGCAATATAACAATCATTGTTGTATTTATTAAACGGGTCAGACAATGTATACGAGTATTAATATATTTTCGTGTGTACGGGGCTAGCCGTCGAAAATTCTGCTTAATGGATTCTCAACTGTTAACTACGCCTCAGCATTTTGTATATATTATGTGTGTGTATAATATTTTATTCTCGTATTGCTGCCTAAAGCATCTATCAACCTCGCCAATTTAATGTGATGCCATACGCCGAGACTGACAACTATTATACTTATTCACATCAAACGAAAATAAAATGACGTTTAAAGGTGTCTAGTCATTCGCAGAGTACTTGTATGAATAGGCATGTTTAATAGCAGTGATAATAATAACCTAAATATTATTGTACGATGATTTTTTATTATTTATTTACTGACCATTGCTGCTTTGGCAACATCGGTCATTGACACGAATTTATCGTCGAGGTATTTGCAAATGTATAATATAGTTTCCTATCGATTATCGGGAGGGCGCTGCAAAAGAGTGTGTACGACTTACAAACATATTACATATAGCAAATCAACGTTCAATAAAATTAATTTATTCGAGTGTGAATTAACTTATCATCAGATTTAAAGGTTTTAAAAAATAATAAAATAATATTGTCTGTGCAGTTTCCTTACTGGCTGTGACTTTGGTATTTTAATTTTTAAGTGAGTTTAAATGTGTAAAATATTATTAGTAAATGTATTTGTTCTTTGCTAGCTTAAAATTAAATTATCAAAACTCTTAACGACGAGAGATTTTAATAGTGGGTGTTTTTGCACTAATATTGCAAGTCAGAACTATCAAAACCATAAACTATAACACATGTATATAACGTGTTTTTTTATGTTATGCATTCGTAAACCAGAGACAAAAAATATAAGTAATGAAGCGTCCATTTGTCATTTGAAAAATTATTTTTTTCTCAATGCATTACTACATAGAGTGTCTCATATATTTTTAATCTAAAAATTAAATCAAATGATTAATTAATCAAATTGAATTGATTTTAAGGATCCTTAGTGGAAATTTATTTTTGTTGTGTCTATATATCTCAAACGAAGAATTTATGTCTAAATAATATAACACGAATTTTGAAGGTCAAACAATGAACAATGAATATTGTCGAGCAAAACATTACGTGGAAAACAACGGAAACCATACACAACAAAATAATACAAATATTTAAATTAATTTACTAGGTCGTATTAATTATTTTCGATGATGTGGTTGTAAAACTTGATAATTTAAACGTGTTAGATTCACATTTTATATAAAAACCTTGAATCCCATAATTTTTATAAAATATTGATAAAATGATAAAACACTGTGTTTTAATATTGATTGATAGTTTTAAATGCAATGAGATTGGAATGTTAAATGCATTAAGATATATCAGTTTATCCACAGATTTTATGTTTTTTATTATTTTTTTTAATTTAAAAATACTAGTATATTACTGCTTATGCATATTTTATATTTAAAATGGATAAAATTAATTGGGAATAAAAATTACAAAAATAATATTTATTTAATGCATATTATTATATTTTTAAAAATCGAAAACATTGTAAATATTAGGCAGATTTTAACACGGTTTAACCTTTAAATATGAACATGAGTGATAAAGTTTTGGTCGGACAACACAACAATTATCGCGATACCAGTATGCAATAATGCGTGTTACTTCAGTGGTATTTTAGTATGTATCACATCATAAATACTTTATTCCATGTTTATTATTATACTTCAAATTATTTCAGAAACATCCAACGATACTAATTTCGATAACTTTATTATTCGAAACTGTGGAAATAGTCATCTTGGAATTATCTTATTATTTCCATACGTTTATGGACATGTTTTATCATGTACGCAACAAAAATATGATTAATTTTGCACACCAAATTTAGTAGCACATGTGAATAGTGAGTAATCTAATTACAACTCACCTTATTCGACGAAATTAACTAATATAACTAATACCTTTTATTGGCACCAAATTAATTTTTTTTTTTACATGTATAATATACTTGAAATTGATAATTATATAGATTCAACAGAATCTTAACATTTATAATAATAATAAGAAAGTTTTTAAAGTGGCGGAAACGGTACATGCTCTACGAGGTTTCAAGCAGGTCATTTTGAAATTTCAACGGGCCATATAAAATAAATATACAGTTATGTACATAATCCTGCATTCAATTATTTTCAAACATCGCATATACTAAATTATTGCATTAATATAAATAGAAAAAAATCAATTTAAAACTAAAGTATAATAAATAATTAACAATCATAATAATTAACAATTTATTAATATTGATTAATATCAAAATAAAAATACCATTGAACAAGATTTAATTTTGAACATTATCTCAGTAGGACGATGACCAATTAGTACTATTTTAAAAATAAAGGGTGTAACCGCATACTCTGATTCCCTCTAAATAATGCTCTTGCATTAGATGAGATACTAGAAAATAATAATCGTAAAAAAAAGTAAAAAAATACAATTTTTTCTTTTACGGCTCACAGTCACCTGTTGAGTTTTTTTTCTGTTAAAAACCTAACAATTCCTGTTTTTGAGTGTATGGTGTTTGTCAATTTGTTTGAATCAAGCTATAATGTTTAGTGGAATGTCGCTCTACCTTTTAATGCAATTATTTATTTGATATTTGAATAATTTACAATAAAATGCCTCAAAAAATCGTTTTTTTATGAAAACCACATTTGATGTAAAATTTAGGTGAAAGATAAATTTTGAATTTTGAAATTTCATATTCGCCATTAGAATTATGTTTGAACTTATCTAATGTTTTAATTTTCCATCATATATCACAGAATTAATCTTAGGTTAACTCAATAATATTTATTATTAGGTGTTAGATATTTAATACTTTACAAATAAATTGGTCGATTAGAAGTTATGTATTTTATGTCGTGATTATAATCAATTAATTTGGGAAAGTTAAAAAAGTAGTGTTTCAAAAATTATACTATTTTGAAAATAATATCCAACTTTTTATTTATTAATCTGTGAAATTAATTATTTTTTTTTAAATAAAATATAGTTTCTGGACCATTTTTTTTCTTTAAATGTTATCGGTTGCCGAGTACCAAAATGAACTAGATGGATTATAACTACGTATGGTATTGAATCATGTGGATAAATTTGTCAAAATATTCACTAATTTATAATTTTTTTAATTTCTGAGCAGAGCTATATACTTAAATATACTAATTTTACAATAATTACGTGTTTGTTTTTTTATTTTGTCTGTGTGTGTGTATGTGTTTGAACTTGAAAACACTTTATCTTGTGGAAAAAATACATGAATTTTCAACTATGAAAATGGTTTCTGCTTTCTGATAGAAAATTAGATCTAATTGGTACTTATGAGGTCAAAAGTAAAATTGTCTAATGTTTTTATAATAATCAGGAGAACGAAAAATAATTAAGGTAATACTGGAATTTCAAATTTTAAATTCGTTTTTTATAAAATCAATTTTGTTTATTTGGTATAGATAATTTAAAAATGAATAATTGTAGATACTTTAAATATTTTTATCAACATTTCCTATTAATATGATAACATTTTGAAATAATTATTTGATTCTTTTTAAGCTATGTATAGATAATTGACATTTTTGATTTTTTAAAAAAAATGTTAAATAAATATCGATAAAAATAATTCTTGCTTGATTATAAACATGTGTAATATAACTATTTTATTTTTTTATAATTTGTAATTTAAAAATATTTTTGTGGGGATTTATTGCTTTTGCGTAAGTATATTGTTACTAGCCGACTCATCACGGCTATGTAAATACACAAAGGCATAATAATATTTTCAAAACATTTAAATTTAATTTATGTTATTACTTATTTTTTATTCCAATAGTAGTTTTTATTAAAAACTTATTCAACATTGGTATCATATAACTAATTGTAAAATAAATTACAATAGGTAATACTTATAAATATATACTGAGTAGTGAGTGATATAGGCTGAAATGATCTGTCTTTGCTCAGAATTTTTTTTTGGTATGCAATAGTTTATCATCAAATTAAAAT